GTCCTCCTGGACCCATTGATCCAACACCACCACTGACTGGTCCCATACCACCAGGTCCACCACCACTACCGGGTCCCATACCACTACCTGGTCCCATACCGCTGCCAGGTCCCATACCGCTGCCTGGTCCCATACCGCTGCCTGGTCCCATACCGCTGCCTGGTCCCATACCACTACCTGGTCCCATACCACTACCTGGTCCCATACCACCAGGTCCACCCCCACCGCCTATGTGTTGTTGCATATCATTGCCTCCTGCAGAACCTACAGATCCTGGTCCACCAGGGCCGACGCCCATTACTGAAGCTGCGGCTGAATTTGCGGCCGCAGCGGCGGCGGCAGCAGCAGCGGCTGCGGCCGCCGCTGCAGCATCATATTGGGTATTTTCCAATCTCGTGATCAAACGCTCGTCCTCGTCTCCAAATTCACCACCCATCAGCGACGGTTCTCCAACAACCATTACATCCTGCTCGACCCATAAAACAAATAAATATAATTACTTACAATTTGCATCATATCCCAACAATGGTCATAATAATCTAGGGTGACCATACGTTCTGTTTTATACAGGAATTGTCCTTTATTTCAGCTTTGTGTCCGGTTGTCCTGACGAACTTCCTACAGAGAGTGGTTTGTCCTGTTTTTATAAGTCGATTCCAATTATTCCTTATTGTTAATATATACACATTTTTTTTTTAAAATATAAAATTATATTATATTTTTGAATTAACAAGAATTGCTGACAAAAATGTGAGCATGTTTGTATTTATAAACAAATAATCACAAGAGATAATGTCGGTGACAATATTAAGTTTGATGTCGGAATGCATACTCCAAAATACTACAATTGTAGAAAATTACACGCTAGTTATATCTGGCTTACAAATGTACACCACAAAAATGTTCATTCAACAGATCCAATTTTGTGCTTTTAATTTTAATGTAGGAGTGAATTGACTTAATATCAAATTTAAAGGTAAGAGCAGCTTATGTGTGTATATTGAATGGATTTTTAATATTTGTATCTTTAGAGGATATAGGAATTTTTTTAACTGTAATATTTTACATGCTCGTATTCCACCAAAATATTTAAATGTTTTATACAATTAAATTTAACTATGATCATACACAGAGTAAGATACGAACACAAATAATGTTCTTATATTCAAGTTGAATAGTTGAATATGTGTTCTAATATTTAAATTAACAGCATAAAATTGGTTCTGCTGAAGGCAAATTAAGATAAATTAATAAGATGGAAACAACACATATAGTGCTAGTTTTACACATTTTTTTAAATTTTAATGAGCATCATAAAGATAAGACTTCTACTAATCTAATATCCATTTAAGCAGATGGGGTTTTATGGATGAAAATGATGATAATTTATTGCCTACATAATATTTTTTGTAATTGATAAACAACATTTACAAATAGTATTGAACTCTGATTTTTCATTTAATTTCAAATAATTATAAACAGAAGTTAAAGATTGATTATTTTGAAGATGCATTGTTTGGAATAGAAGTATTTAACAGATTTCAATGTGGTCAGTAGGAAGCTTTCTCTTTCTAACAGAAATTTTCCTGTACAGCATGTTTTTAAGCAAACACCACGAAGGACATTCAGATAGAACTCACTAGTCAAAAATTAAAGAAAATACAGCTTGATAAAAAAAAACAAATATACTAAATGAACTGTTTAAAGGAAATTTGAAAGTGCTGTAAAAATAAAACTCATCAGTTTTAGAAGAACATATTAAGTAACATCTAATTTTATTTTTTTCACAATAAGAACTACATAACCTTTAAAGTTTGGATAATTGAATACTGAACAAAAAGTATGTACAAAAAAAAAAAAATTGCATTCAAAAATAAAATAAAAATTGCCTTTTTTTAATATGGTCACCCTACAATAATCAAATATTGTATTATTAAGCGTGTTAATTTTTTTTTTTTTAATACTATACCTGTGATGCTAGGTTGAAACCTGCTCCTCCAGCACCACCACCTCCACCTCCACCACCATTCGGCCCAGGACTCCGCTTTTTCGAAGCTGCTGGTCCACCACCGGGCCCACCACCTGGGCCTCCTCCAGGAGTATTTGGAGGACCACCGCCAGCACCTGAATTACTGCCCTTGCGTTTACGCCTTTTGTTGGCTGGTCTCTGTGATTCTATTAATTCAATAATCAAAATTTTAGAATTTACTCATCTTTCTTATGTTAGGGATGTTGCTGGTGCTATCAATGATGGAAACAATAGCATCCAATAAAATGGTTAATTGTTTAACTATTTATTATTTAAATAAATAATACCAGTAACATCTTGTAGTTATATAATATATAATTAATTATTATAAAGCTATTGTTACCTGGTGGAGCAACCATACGCTGCCACTTTTGAAATAGAGTAGTTTTCAGACAATCTCTAGGACTGAGGGCATACCCTTTATGTCTAGACATCAATTCTTGCATTGGTTCTAATATGACACAGAGCTAATGAGAAACATTAAACAAATAGTTTTAATATTCAATTTAACATAATGTAATTTAATTAAAATACACAAAACAAGAAGGTATTTTTTTCCTATATAAGTTATGTTAAGCAATTGCCACCTCAGAAGAGTACTACAAGAAACTATTACATTATAGCAGGTCTATTTTTATTGTGATTAGGTGCTAGTAGTTCATAAATAAGTATAATTTTTTTTAACATAATACTCACTCTTAGGTAATTGAGTGTAGAGTTTGTAATTCCCTGCCGTGTAATATTTTTCGCCACCTGTTGGTGAACAATTTCAGGGTTAGGTGGAGATGGTCCACTTGGAGGTCCACCATCAGCTCCACCACCAGGACCTCCTTGTTGCATCATTACTACTGCTGCAACAGCCGCTGCTGCAGCTGTTCTAGGCACGAGTTCTCTGTGTTGTCTAACTGCTAAATGCCACGTTCTTATACGCATCATATCATCATAAGTAAATTCTAATGTCAGCCTTCCTTCAGTGCACACTCTAGTGTATACAGGTGGAGAAGGTGGTCCACCTGAGGCTCCCATTGGTCCTCCGCCTCCAAGTACTATACAAATATGAAATAAATAAAAATAAAAAATAAATTCATGAAACAATTGAGTGATAACTTAATACTAAACAAAATAATGTAATATAACTAAAACCACTTTTTATTATTCTATAGTTTAAAGATGAGCAATTGGTGGACTGTGGCAGCATATCATTTTTTTTGACAGTTACATTTTCAAGTTTAATACTTTAAAATTTAAAAATTAATTTTTATATAAAATGCTACCTATATTTTAAATGACTTACATTATATATAAATGTACATTTTCTAAAATTAGCAAATTAAATCAAAAGAAAGAAATTGACTTAAAGATGCAATATTATGTGTAAGTGACCTACTTTGTGTTTCTACTTTGAAAATAAAAGTTGGGTTTCCTGTGTTAGTATCTGCAACCATACATCCTTAAATCTTATATTAAAGTCACATTAAACATAAAATTATTTTTAATGGCTTTTAATTTAAGTTCCAAAAATGTTCACTTAAATACTTTGAATTATTTATTATTTACGTTATATTTGGTTAAAATATAAATTGCGGTTTATTTTAAACTGAATTATGTATATATTTTATTGTCTATATAAATAAACATCAATACAAAAGAAAGATAAAATAATGAACAACTGATTACATAAAATTATTGAAAAAAAATATATTTATATAGAATAATGTTTTAAGAGGATCTTTCCGTACACTTTAATAGTTTAATAAATAAAATAAATAGTAATAATATAAAAATGCTGTAATTCATTATATAATTTATTAAAAACTACCAGACAAGTCCACTTTTGATTAGGAAATTAGATAAGCCTAGTTAAGTTAGTTTAATCTTGTCCAAATTTTGTATCTAAATATTTATAATTCAGAGCAGTCCATTTTTCCTATATCTTATATATCAACAGGATTTAATTTTTCTTATATGCAATTAAAAGGGGGGAAAAGCTTTGTATATATAAAATCTTATTGCATGAAACTATGGTAAAAAAAAATTGATTAAATTATATACCTGATTGCTGGGAAGATGGTCCTTGCGCTACCAGCGATTTTTGCATACTGATACCACCATTCAATGAAGTGGGCTGTCCACCAACACTACCAGGACCTCCTGGTCCAGGCGACTGAGGAATAGAAGATGGGGGCCCACCACTTGATGTTAAATGAGTAGTAACCATGGTACAGTGGTCACAGTCCAGAGTAAGACTAGTATTATGAAATGACTCTTTAGTGGCATTTGCTCTCAAATGATAATACAAATCAGTGACTCCACCTTCAAATATCGACCTAAAATATCTAGGAATCAAGGTCCTTCCAATGGCTAAGAATAACAAAAATAAATAAATATAATTATTTTTGTATTATGCTATTTATATTAAACTTTATTGAGTTCTTATACTCACAATAACGTTTTGGACCATCTTCTAAACAAAATGTTAGAGTGAGTGTGGCATCATCTTCAAAAAATTCTGTGGCAAACTGATCCCACCACACATTATCACTGTCCTGTAATCAAAACGTATAAAATTTCAATTTAAATATTATTAAAACATAATTAAATAGGATAAAAATGTTTAAACAAATTTTAAAATAATCATTATATGCATGACAAAAATTCCGTTCAAATATAAAAATGTTTTTTTTAACACATTACCTCATTGCGATTCTGCAACCTCTTATTCAGTTCAAAAATCCTATAATCCGGCTGTACATGGTGTGCATGTGATGGGTGTGGGTGGGGAGGTGGTGGAGGCCCATGGGGTCCATGTGGAGGACCATGTGGATGATGTGGAGGACCATGCGGGGGGCCTCCGGCACCACTGTGGGAATGAAGAGGTATACCGCCTACATGGTGTGGTGGTCCACCACCACTGTGTGGATGAGAAGGTACTCCATGAGGTCCACTTCCTGGGGGTCCTCCATGAGGTACACTTCCTGGAGGTCCACCATGGTGAGAAGGTCCTCCATGATGTCCTGGTGGCCCTCCGTGATGACCCGAAGGGCTACTGTGATGTACACTGCTTCCTAAATGTGATGGAGGTCCACCATGTGGCCCTCCCAGTACACTTCCACCATGATGTCCTGGTCCACCTCCATGATGCCCGGTTGGTCCTGCACCATATCCTCCAGGTCCTCCATATCCTCGACGCCCTCCACCACCACCAGGACCACTTGGTCCACCAACCATTGACGATGGAAAACATCTATGACATATATTATTAAGTAGTTAATGTTCATTTTTTTTTTTTTCATTTGGTTTTCGTGTTTAGGAGACACAAATGTAGAGAAAAATTACATTTTTATCTTCATTCCTTAATCACTATATTATTCTAAACAGTTTAATGTACCATATTTACATTTTCTATAGACATGTTTAATACATAAAAAATAGGTGTAAAAACAACTAATATTCAATAGAAGATAAACAATTACTATGCTGATTGTGATTTCTTTAACTCTTATTCTATTGAAACTTGATTATTTTCACACCAATCTTCTAGAAATGTAAACTGTTATTACTAAGAAACTATTGATAAGTAAGTATAGTACATTCAAATGTTTAGAGTAATGCATTTTACAATAAATCTATTCTTGAAATTTTAAAAAGTGAAAAAATATTTTATATATACATTATTATTATATAATTTTTTTTTTTTCAGCATTTAAGAAATGAAAATAAAAATTTAATTTTTGTCTACATTTGTATCCTCTCCAGAAACAAAGCCTAATTGAGAAAAAAAGTTACATTGACAACTATTAGCATAGAGATAACATTTTAGAACACTCTGTATACTTAAAAATGTCTGATATACTTACGATGGATGATCGACCATCATGCGACCACCAGGGCCAGAGTCTGTGGCATTCATCATTCCTCCTCCAGCACCACCACCGCCGCCACCACCACCACCACCACCACCATGGTGATTCATCATTTGTTGACTAAATGGAGAGCCTGGAGGCATAGGCCCTCCACTGCTGCCTCCATAAAATTGCTGACCACCAAAAGGTGATTGTTGTGGAGGTGGTGGACCTGAACCAGGACGATTACTGCCAGGCCCAGCACTACCAAATCCTCCTCCTCCACCCCCTGAACTCACAGACGAAGGCGACCCAAAAGGCATTTGTGCTCCTCCACCATTAAAGGGCCCACCCGCACCACCATGTTGACTATTTGGTGTGCCAGGTCCACCACCATAAGGCACAGGAGTTGAAGGACCTCCTCCCCCAGGAGTCGACGGGCTGTAATGCTGTTGCTGTTGGTGTTGCGGAGTACTATTTCCACCACCACCGCCTCCATAAGGTCCACCTCCAGGCGCAGGAGAACCTTGTTGCTGGTGGAATAATGAAGGAGACTGGTGTCCTTGTTGCTGGTGATGTTGGTATGGTCCAACACTACCAGGGCCACCATATCCCATTCCAAATGGATCTCCAGGACCACCCCCGGGTCCTCCAGGACCTCCTCCAGCTTTCCAAGAAGAAGCCGCAGCTGCCGCTGCTGCTGCTGCAGCAGCAGCTGCAGCGGCAGCTGAACTTCCGGGCCCCCCAGGCCCACCTCCTCCTAGACTGTCATCTCCAAGAGTAGCGGCTAGTGCTACAGCAGATCCACCACCTGCATTGCCAGCTCCACTAGCGCTACCACCACCAGCTCCTCCTCCACGTCTACTGCATCCAGCTACAAAGAAATAACAAAAAAAAAAAAGAATTACTATAATATATGACATTTATGTGATAGCATTAATAAATAATTAATTTTGTGATAAACACTAAAACTAGATAAAATTCTACTGGAAATTGTAAAGTGACTTTCAGTCAAGTAAACATTAGGATTAATAGAGAATATTGGAAGAGTGTTTTGTATACTAGGTATGTATTGCAAATACTTAGTATATATTTTAAAGTTCAAAATATTTTTTAATTCAAGATTCAATAAATTTAAATTGGAAAAATAAAGGATATCTTGTATTTTGTATTGAGTAATATAAAAAGTATTTCCACTTCTAGCAAACATTTCCAACCCAATTATTAAAAAAAAAAATTCTTATAGTCAAATTTACTGGAGAAAAATTGTACCATTTAATCTACTAATGTTGCTTTGTGTATCCAATATTAAGTAAATATAATTTACCAATACAATGATTTGAATGGAAATTTACAATTTGTTGAGTAGATATTATCTGAATTTAAGTAATGATAATGTTCAAAATTAGAGAAAACAATTATTTATTTATTGCATAAAAAAAAAAATTGATTTACAATGGTAGTGGATGCATAATTATTATAACAGTAGAATATAATATAATCAAACTATAAATATTAAAATATGCATATATAAGTATAAGTTTGCAAAACGCATGCTATAAAATTAAGTTAAGTTACATATAGTATGTATTATTATATAATTGATATTGTTAATATTACAAGAAAAATATCTTTATGGGCTGAATTTTCCATTGATATTAATAGAGAACTAATTGCATAATGCTGTGGCTATATAAAGTACTTTGCTACCTTTGCTATGTATGCCATGTAAATAAACAAAATAATATCAATTGCTTTCGAGATGTCTTAATGTAAGTTGCCTTGGGAGAGTGAAGGCAGTGATGACAGTAATAATGAGACTTTGTTATTACTTGCGTTACATAGTAGTAAGAAACAAATTTGGTGAGTGAGTTTCATCATATAATAAATATGCCACGCGAAGATAAAGTTTAATTTAAGAAATATTTTAGTGTAACTATTAATCAATTCGATGAAAATAAAAAACGGTAAATACCTTACGTTATGATGTGAAAGTACCTATGACATGCAAAATTAAGAAAGTATAGTATGTGGTGTCTTATAATTTTTTTCAGTATTGGTTCTGTCAAATTTGTTCAACATTAGCCTGTAAGCGTCTCTTTGTATTGCAACTTAGCCTAGAATTATACACCAGTGAATGGCCATTTACATTGTTGTAATATAAAGCTATTTTTCCTAAATATAGCAAACATAGTAAACATAGCATGTGTAGCTTTCTGTGTACCTATACTTTAATTCAAAAAAATGTTTTGTAAAAACAAAAGATATATTAGAGTCTTAAGTGTTGTTGAAATTAATCTTAAAATTAAGAAATCCAACAATTATTAGTGTTGTTTATTGAAAATTGATTTAAATATTTATAGATATTTAAAAATATCTTCCATACTAATTAAAGAAGGTTTCATAGAATTACAATTTAGAGCAACCTATACATAGTTAAGTTTCAAGTTTGTTTTCTCCATTGTCAATACATAATAATAAGAATTCTGTAATACAATTATTATATGACAGATCTGATTTAAAAAACGTAATTACTTAATACCAAATCAAATTGTACAATAGTGATAGATTAATCAAAATTAAAAAAAATGACAAATATTTTTAATAATTAAATTTCAGTAAATATTTACATAGCAATTAAATTCATTAAAAATAATTACAACAAAGTAAATAAAAACCATTAGTTTCATAGGTTCAAGTATAAATTACAAACAATGATCTGATTTAAAATGAAATGGTAAAATTGATAAATGAGGTACCTACATTTAATTGTAATATGTTAACTGGCTTGAGTATCATATTTAACTCTCACTGAATTTGTTTCATACACCATGAGAATTAAATTAAATTCTTATTTATTTAGGTTTATAGATTTTTTTTTGTTTTTACATAAGAGATTTTTTAACTCTCCTAACTCATCTAATATTATTTAAATAGAAAATCTATTTTTAATAACAATAATACCAAAGCCATAAAGTGGTAAACCAAAATATTTCAGTTAACACTGTCAGAAAAATAGACGAGTATTAAAATTAAACTCCTGAGGATGTGGAGGAATTCCACTAAAAATATTGTTAAGTTTATAATATATGTGTGTGTATTATTAATCATAATAAATTAAATAGGTATGATAGCAAAAACTCTATATTCATCGTGTTAAAGCATATTCCTACCCCCCTCCTCACCATCTAAATTTGTGATATAAACTTTTATCTCATCCTATTGGTTATAATATTTATATTCAAATTATCGTATAATACCTAAAATAAAGGCGGTTAACCACGTCTTGCTTTTAACTCTTTCCGGCATGGTGGCTTCAGTACAGCTGACCACTTAATTTTTCTGCTTATTGGTGGTTAGTAGAGCTAACCACCTAGAAAATATATTTTCTTTTTTTCTCATTTCGTGGTCATTGTTACTGACCACCAAAGCCGATTAGTTCATATACCACCAGATGGCATGGGATATATCAATATTAATTAATATTAAAAACATTTGTTATATTTTATTTCCTAAAACTATATTGGTCGAATTTAATTTGTGTTGGTTTTCCCAGAATATTCATTATCATGTTTTCTGCGCATTATGATTATCTTTATTTCCCTTTCATAGTCGTCTATCTTTCAGTCTATTCGACCCAATTGCTTTACATCTTGTGTAATTTTCGTCATTTTCGGTGGTCAACTGCAATAACCAATACGCAGTCGGTGTCTGCATTTATATAATTATACGTATTGTAATGTATAAATGGAAAGATAATAAGTGTGTTCATATTTTATCATCTTTACATAGTCCTAAAGGTACTAGCAATGTAAATAGAAAATCTAAAGATGGAACTCAAAAGCTTGTTTCTTGTCCAAAAGTGTTGATAGATTACAATAAAAATATGAACTTCGTGGATAATTTTGATCGTTTGAACAGTGACTATAAGCTTGACAGAAAAAGTATGAAATGGTATTTACGATTAATTTTTTATGTATGAGAAAAGATTCGAATTGCTTTCAAGATTTTCATAAAACAAAATATTATACAAATATTAAAAAATAAATAATATACTATTAATGTATTTAAAATTTTTATTTTTAGAAGGTATTTATTTCATTTTGTTATTCAAAAAAAGGACAAACAACATTTTTTATTATGACATAGTTTGAATTATAATTTAAAATTAAAGTTAATTTACTGATTTTATCTTATTTGTGGTTGTTGAAAAACTATTCGATAACACTTTATGATATGCTGAAAAATGTTGTTATCATATGCATGGTGGTTAGCTATGCTAACCACCTTAAAATTTCAAATTTCAAGGTTAAAAATTAACTAAAGAATGTTTTAGTGCTATGATTATTTGTTTGGTAAGTATATATATTAAATGTTAAGGAAACAAATAAAATTAAAAAAAAAAAATTGCCGTGCATACCACTTTCATTTTCCGCCCAGTGCCGGAAAGAGTTAGGAGACAAATTAATGTTGAATTTGAATTTTCGATTTATTAATTATTTATTTTTGTTTAATGATACTGCTAAACACTAAAAATAAAAAAAAATAAACTAAAAAAATGTACATCATAAAGCTATCTGTATTTATTCTTTTTATCTGTCTACCTATTCATTACGAATCATAACAAATAAACATAGGTAATTAATTATTTAATAAATACGGATAATTACCTGCATATGTTTATTCATACAATATATATATACACATATTATACTAACTGAAATGCCTGTGTATGTATTCAGATTGTTATAGGAGTAAAAAAGAAAGGAGTTGAAGGACTTTTTTATATTGAGCAACTTTTAAAACACTTTCCTAAGCAGAAACGTAAATTAAAATTATAGTAATCATAGGCATTTAATGCAAATCATAATTAATGTTTTCATATTTCGTATTGTGATAACAGTAGCCGAAAAGCCTACATCACACAAGTGTGTGATGTACATCGCAAAGTTGCTGATATACCTATTTAATTCATCATGGTACAAATCATGTTAGGTATTAATGAACCACAAAAGTTAAATGGTTCAAGTTGATAATTATGAACAGTTTGTTTATCCACAAACACTTTAAGGTGAGTCTCAAGATAAATGTGAATAAGAACATTAAGATTATGCAAGTATCAATAAATTAAATTGTCATCAAATATAAATTAATCATTCAAGTGTTAGCTGTTTATACCTACTTGAAAATAATTAAGCTTTTATTTGCATGGACTAATGATGTAGCACACACATTCTGTTGTGTCATGGTCATAGTCTGAAGATAGTAGAAAAAGGATTAATTTTTCCTTCATATAATGATGCAATGTTAAATTATACATTTTATTTTTTTATTATTAAAACTCTAAAAAAAAAATCTACAAATGTAACATTTTTATTTCCTTTTTGAAAATTTTGAGATTATCAGTTTGATTTGTTTAATTATTTTTTGAATGGAAAAATGAAATCATAATTCTTAAAATGTATGATTTTTTTAAAATTAATGTATATATATATATATAATGACATTTATTGAAGTCTTAATATTACTTATAATATTTTAGGTTAATTTAAGCACTTAATATAAACGAATGATTTTATAAAAAAATTCAGCAATAAATTAAAAATCTTTAAAAATTAATACTTAAATTAACATTTACCTATAAGCTATAATGCATATAGCAATTTAAATAAACAGATATACTTGAAGAATTACCTATGTCCAATGGGGTCAATGAAAATTGAGATACTTCATTGGTAATGATGTTATAATTTAAAATCAAGACTTGGAATACTACATATTAAACCAATGTACACTATAATATACCACTGTTAATTTTTGAAGTTAAGTTAGAGAAAATTGATATTTGAAAACATTATTAGGGGAACAGAACTAGTTGCATTTGCATTTTTTTTATTCGCTCTAGCAAATTGTACATATATACTGGCTGTCCCACGAAGATAATAAAGATAATCAAATTCTGATTTTTTTGTTATATTACTCACAGGTATGAGGACTACAAATATTTATTATTAAATTAATTTTTTGTTTTTAGTAAAAAAAAATTAACTTTATTTTATTATTTTCAGAAAATTTAAAGATAGCTATATTTTTAAGTTTATTTTTCTGAAAATTCTAATGTATTACACATTTATATCTGATGAATAGTTTCTAAGTAACAGCCGTTTTGAATTCTACTAATCCGTGTGAAAACCAATATTTTCTAGGAAATAACAGAACCATGTTATGTGCTTTAATATATCATATTTTTTCAACTTCTAAGTTTAGATCATTGTACATAAGCTATAGGTAAATAATTATTATCTAATATTAAACTATGGACATTATGGTATAATAAACTTTTATTACAGTTTATTTCTGGAGTGAGAATTTTGAAATAACCCTCATCCATAAAAATAAATTATGATCTAGATTATAATTATCGTAAGATAACTGAATAACTAATTAATTAAATGAATTAATTAATTTCAGTTTTTATTTATTGAGTATGCAATATATTTTTTTTATTTTAATAATTATTAAAATAAACATTTTTTTGGACATAAAGTTCCGGATACTGAACATTATCATTTTTGGTTTTTGCTGTTCATTTTCTTTAAACTAAAAGAGAAAACATTATTACAAAATAACATTTATCATGTAAAGTAGATGGTTCAATGATTGTTGAATTAAAAATATACAATCATTAGAATTAGTATTAAATTGAGGTTATAATACAGATAACATACACAAGAAAAAGATCTAATACCGGTGACGGTTGTGTCACTACTGTAGGTGAGAAGTTGGTAAGGTAGGATACATTTAATTATTTAATTTATATCTATAAGCAACGATAAACCATTGCTAACAAAAAACAATTCGGAGCAAAGTTTGGTTATACATGATTTGAAAGTCCATCATATATTTACAATTTACATCAAAATTTGATACTAAAACTAATAAAAAAATATTAGATGATTACATTTAATTTTTATTTTTTGACCACTAACTACAACTTATAATGAATTTAGACTTTTATTGTGAACATCTAGATCCAAAATACAATAAATATGATTTTTGTCTGGTTTTTTCTCATTTTGCTATTGTAATATTTCTGGTAGAAAACATAGTTTACAAAAATTAACCACAATGAAATCAGCAATGCCATAGCGCTATGTAAATATTTGCCATTGTACCTATAATTTGGTTTCCAGTTTTTCCCAATTATTTTAAAAATCCCTAGGAAAATCAAATAGTGACCTCTCTTATGCACCAACTAGATACAATTCTCTTTCAGAAAAGGCGATACACTTACTAGTTACATTTGAGCAAGTTTTCTTTTCGAAAAAATATTTACAGAAAGAAAAAAAACATATCATGGTAAAACCAATAAATCTATATAATAATTTTTTACATTTGAATTTATATTTTTTTTTTTTTATAGGTGGGTACATAGCATGTATAATTGCATATTATACTCATATTTTTATTTACTCATAGCAGTAATCAAAAACTATGGCTATAAAATGATAAATCGGATTACTTTTAAGTACATATTATTTAGCCTATAGGTATTATATATTTTGAACCTGGAAATTGTTGAGGAAATATCATGTTTTATTCAAAGACTGGGGTTAAACGCATATAATTATTTATCATATAGCACGGGTAATAAGCTCAATTACACGCCTATTACCTTATTTCACTAACATCGAAAACAAACATGGGTAGGTACCTTTATTTATTTAAATTATTTAGTACCTCTAGTAGATACGTATATCTGTTTAAATTATTTGGTACCTGTAGTAGTTACCTATACGAAGCCTTAAGTTTTATACTCACATTTTTTACTACGTTGTCCGCCGCGTCCCTGCCTCATACTTATCGGTTGGCGGTAAATTTTTACTATGTTGGGTCGAATGTCGAACGCGAATTGTCGTCGCGTAGAGTATGCGCGTATGAAATCGTTCAGTTACCGGCGGATAGAAATGGTTTCAGTACCGGTGCTTGCGACGAAAACGGCCATTATTGCTGCCACTCGTCTCGTCGACTACTACTCCTACTACTACACCTGTTGACGCAATTGGCATGTTAATTGCGGCTAATTATGCGGTCCTCGAAAGAGACACTCTGAAAGATGCGCGAAGAAAACGTTACGCATAATTAATATACACTACGGTTAGGTAAAATATAGGTAATAATAATAATAATAATAATAATAATAATAATAATTATAATGATAATAATAATAATGAATGTGTGTGGAATTACCGTGCGGGGTACTGCGCGATCCGACGGATATTGACAGTTGTGGTCGGCACCTCACATCACCCGCGTACGGAATAACGCCTAGTTGTCGCGAACGGAAAACAATAATCCATACGAGCGCAATATTATATCGGGTCTCGTTACGACGCCGCTATCATATTATGCGTGCGCGTATCGCGGTCGTCACACAAGCGCGCGCGCGAGACGACGGCGGCGACGCGGAGTTCGGCGTACCGGCGAGGTTGCGGCGAAACCGTTCGGACGGCCGCGCGGCAGGCGGCAACGGAAACCGCGGGTCGGTTGATGCGCGTCGGCCCGCGAACGGCATAAACGTTGGCAGTCGCGGTGCGCTCTCGCCGCTTGCTGCAACGGCGTCGTGCCAAAGATTTTCGAAACGCCGCGACGGCCGAAACGCTGCGGCGTACTTGTTGTTGTATAACGCGAATACGCGGACGCCAAAGACGCGGCGCGGACGGATACAATTACTGCGGCGGCGTTGGTAATAATTTACTGTGAACAATACTAATTATTGTAATACGAGCGGCGAACGACGACGGACGACGGAGTGGTGTGCGCGCCAGTGGTCGGTGTTCGGTGGTTTGCCGCCGCGTAAGTGGAGAGATAGACGCCGTACTACCCGCTTGTCATCGCCGCCGTAGCTTGCTGCTGCCGCTGGTTGCTGTCGTCGGCCGCCGATAGATATCGATAATAATGTGCGCGCGCCCGTGTCGCGCGGTGTGCGTGCGTGAGTGCGTGTACGCCGCGCGCGCGCGTGTGTGCGTGTGTGTGTGTGTGCGCGCGCGTTACGTGTACGTGTTCCGTATAGTATAATATTTTAGGCACCGTGGAAAAGTCGTCGTGGTCGGTAGGCGGGCGGCGTGCACGTCATATTATTTCTCTACGGCGTCGGCGGCGGTGTGTGTCGTCGTCGGTCGGACGGACGGGGACGGGGTGGCGGCGGCGGCGACGGCGAGGGGTAATCATCGAGCGACCGCGTCGTCGCAACGGCACACAACAAAACGCATCGGGACGCGAAAAAACACGGCTCGCGCCCCGACGTGCCGTCCGTCCCCGCGGCGGGTAACGCATCGTTGTTTTTCGCCTCGGAACCGACGCGGCCGCCCGCCCCGACGACCTGTTCACCTTCGGCGCCCCCCGCCAACGACGCCGTCGCGCGTCGATCGTCGTCGTGCTCGCAAGATAATTAACGCAATACGCAGACCGGTCAGAAATAATAACAATAAATAAATATTCGTTGACGGCGCAATAATATCATGACACTATTGATAGTTATGTAACAATCGTATTCCCGATATTATTTCCCCATTAGCAATAATAAAAAACGCAAAGTTGTAATACATTCGGATAAAAGACATTTCGACGTTTCAGAAGGGACGCGTGCGTTTTAAAGGGAAAACGGCGCGACAAACGTTTCGTAATGGTAACGGTAGTAATAAAAGTGTAGGTAGCTACCTTTATTATCGAACAGTAGGCGACAAGAAAACTAGATTACAATAATACGCGTGTTAATATTTCGAACGAATGTTCACCGTTCCAAACAATGATAATCTAATAATATAATTAAATCGTACAAAAAGGTGATTGAACTTTCCGGACGATAAATCCGTAGTATCTAGAAACGGGAGCTGCAGTAGTACCTGGTAGTAGTAGTAGTAGTAGTAGTAGTAATAGTAATAGTAATAATAGTAGTAAGTAAATAATCCAAATATAACAGTGTTCTATAATCTACGCGTCGTTTTTATTGTCAAGATAAGGAATCGCGTGTACTACATTATAGTAGTATTACTATTTCTAAATTATATCAAACATTTATCTCTACGAAATAAATATTATTCGAGTTGTTAACTGACCCATAAACGTGTTAGCTGATACTCCCGGGTTTTGTTTATAATATTATTGTTATTGCATGGGTAATACCTGTCGATTTTAGTGAACCCACACGAATTCGTCTTATAGCGCCTTTTTATCAATTTATTGATTTACCGGCGTAGAATAAATAAAAACACGATAATCGTACAACTATTACATTGTTATTATGGCCGGAGGAAATAGAAAAATAAAAATAGTTATAAATAATCCTTGGCAATAGCGGAATAAAAAAAACCCAAACATCGGCGACGGCCTGGGTGTCGAATGCAGGTACCTATATTGTTCATATCTTCCCGTTTTTTCTCAGTTGTTCCCATTCATGGACCATTAAAAATCGGACTAAAATTGTTGGTAGAAAAACAAATAATAATAATAATCATTCTAAAACCAATACATTCCTCACTACGCTCAGAATCAAAAATATTACGGTCTTTTTTATCCCATCAACAACTTTTCTACCAGCAATTATCTGAAAGGAAATCTGACTGAGATGGCACTTTAGAGAGGTCATTTTTTGATTTTCCCAGCTGTTGTCGAAATAAATGGGGAAAACGGGAAAATAGATACAATATTAATTAAACTATGGTAAAATTTGGTAAAGTTTTACCAAAATATGGCATGTATATTATTGACAAAGTAACACTATCAACTGAACTCCTCTCAGAATCGCTTTTCGTTATTAATGGTTAATCGTTGCGTACAGATATACATTATATTTCCCCTCTACCATCTTAACTTTTCACTTATAACAGTGGCTCACCCACATACGAAGTATGTTCGTTTTTTTTTTCCAAATAACAATAATACAATCAAATTGATTGAATAAATTATTCCTAGAAGTACCAACTATCCGGATAGAGAATTGTTATGATTTTATTTGGGAGGCGTATAAAGTACGACCATATTTTGCAAGAGTGATATTTTATCAGAAAAATAAATAATCCGATAAATATTTACATTGAACCGTATTTTTAGAAGAAAAATATTTTATCCGAACAGTATTTGTACAGAAAAATATTTTGGTTGAAAATGTATTATCGGAATAATATTCTGTAAAAATATATTTTGATAGAGAAATATTTTGTTAAAACCGTATTTCGGTAAAAAATATCTATAAAGGTGATAACACTGTTATCTCATATCATCTGTTAACTGCTGAACATCGGTTTATGGTATACTGATTGGTTAGTTTTCTGGTTTGTTTGTTTGTTTTGTTACTAATCAACAAGTCTTGTTGATGTCGTTCGATTCGTACTTTCAAAAATTAACTTTAAAAGTACATTTTTGAATAATTTTGATAAATCAACCCTTTTAACCACTTAAATATATTTTTTAGGGATTCATAATATTTTTAACTTATTCTCCATTTAGTTACCAAGAGAACAGTCATACTTGTATAGTAAGTTACACTTGATATGATTTCAAATGAAATTTTTTTTACAATTATTATCAAATCATATTTTAAATATGATAAAAAGAAATTTTATATCAATTTGTTATCATATATTGCTTTATAATATTTATGTAATTTTAAAATAACACTGGGAAATTGTTTGAAATCTATTTCGCTGTCCGTATTTAATGATTATTAGCGTTATCACTAAGAGGATGGATAACCGATTGCATTGATAAAAATATAAATATTGAGGGGTTAGGATTAATTCTGGCTAAAAATATAATACCAAAAGTTTTAAGAAAAAAATAAATATAACAAGTAAGATATATTCATATGAAGTTGAGGAAGTTAATAATTTTAATCCTGTATATTAAAAATCTATATAAAAAAAACAACAAAAATTAGAACTCGAAGATATAAAAGGGGAAGAAAAAAGATTATTCTTCTTATATGAAAAAAAAAAACAAAACATATATATTGGGTGATAAAGCTAAGAGAGCAGCCCTAGAGAATAAAATCTTCGAACATTTTAGAGAAAGATGATCGCAGTTGAGTGATCAAAATAAGTAAAAATTGTATGAATTTATGATAGATAACAGATCTAAATATCCTGAAAGAATGAAAAACATTTTTTGTAAGGTACATTACATCTGGAAGGAAACATGTTTATAAAAACTTGTTTATTAATAAGTTTGTTAATGGTTTATGCTTTCTTTCTCAGTGGGCAAGACATTTTTATTTACCTAAGAATGGACATTTTATGTTTTTAGAGACTAAACGATGGAGTAATTATAATGAACATCGTTTTCCTCATATTTGGGATTTAGATGTTAATAGGAAAGTTTGGAGGGGATAAAGGAAAAATGTAAAACTAAAAAAATGTAAATAATAAGAATAATTACCAAAATAATAAATCACGGGAAAGATAAATATATATTTGCTTTTAAAAACGATGAAGGTCTTTACGTGTCAAATTATTGAATAGAGAAATGAATAGAAAATGTACAACTAGATTTCAATAATAACATAAATATAAAATTGGATTTGTTTAAAACTACACCTTGTAAAAATAGCGAGCTAAGAGTTTTTAACTAAAAAGTTCAAATTAGTAGGAAAGAAAAATTGTATTTTATTTATCGCCTTATAACTTTAGAGTCATACTTAGAGATATTTTAGTAAGGTAATTTATTGATTTTCCTAGGAGTTTTCTCAATAACTGAGAAAAAACGGGAAAATGTATGAAACGTAGGTATTGAAACATATTACGGCCTTTTTTGTCCCTGTGAACAACTTTTCTACCATCAATTTTGCTCTGATTTACAATGACATAATTTTTCTGAAAGGAAATTTGATAGGTACTTTAAAGAGCTCATTTTTTGATTTTTTCAAAAAAATCAGAAAAACCAAGAAAAATACATAAGTAAACCGGGAAAAAACGTAGGAAAAACGGGAAAATAGGTACAATATTAAACAAATATTATTAAAGAAAATGTTTAATGCAACTTCGCTCAGAATCATTTTATCGTTAGAAATGGTTTTTCGTTGCTTACAGATATACATTATATTTTCTCTACTATCTTCCCAACTTGTCATCTATAACAGTGGCTGCACCCGTCCCCACTATCCTAGGACAGATTTTAGGATGTTATCTGTTTGGAATTCAATGCTTTCTATTTGAAGAGATGCTTTGTCACACTTAAATACACTTACTGCTTCATTAATCCTTTCGCCATCAGGTTGCAAAGTAAAGGTACTGTCTAAAAGTTTTGCAGCGTTTTGAAGTTTTTCGAAATTTACAAAACACTTTTAAAATTCTTTTTTTAAACTTATATAAACTTAATATTGTTAATATTAACATAATAATATTAATAATGGCTGTCTTCATAAATTCTTCCGAACACGAATCTAGTTTGCAGCAAAAGATGATTTGATGATTGATGCAATGGTAAGATAAAAGATCAAAGTTGCACTTTGGAAAATTTTTTAATTTTTGAATACAATTTTGTTGAATGCCAACCATTGCTGGCACACCGTCTGTAGTGAGAGAAATTATTTTTTCCAAACTTTTTTTTTCGGTTTCAAATTACACAATAACTGCGTTTTATAAATTATTTTTTGTTTTTGTGGTCCCTGACATAGGCAAAAGTGTCAAAAACTCTTCATTAAATATTCCGCTGGTATTATTCAGGTACCTTACATAATACATGAATAATAAGTTGAGCTGTATCTTTAATATCACACGGTTTGTTCAAGACTAAAGAATAAAAAGAGCTGATACTGGGGATAGGAGCGGCCACTGTTATAAGTGAGACGTTGGGAAGGTAGGATATATAAGGTTATTTCATTTATATCTGTAAGCAATGAGAAACGATTGCTTGACGAAAGACGATTCGGAGCGCAGTTCGGTTAAACATATTTTTTGCGATTTTCGTTTAAATTTGATTTTAAAACGATTATTAAAAAAAAAAAAGTCATCTGATGATTTTGGAAATTTTACTCAAAAGTTTTGGCAATAATACCGTTAGAAAATAAATCAAAAAGCCATTAAAAAAGGTGTCTTGATTTTTTGATTAAATCCTTTTTTCTGGTAGAAAACATCCATGTTTTTATAAATTAACAAAATCGTGAAATTGTACGTTTTCTTACGTTTTTTCCACTTAAGTGCTTTTATTTAAAAAATGGCATCGAACAAAAAACTGACCTCTTTAAAGTACAATCTAAGCAGCTTGATCTTTCAGAAACAGTGCTATACGTAAAAATTGGAGCGAGTTTATTAGGATAAAACGTGTCGACAGATTAGAAGAAAAAAAAAAAAGAAAAAAGACATATACAGCATTGTAAAACCAATAGCTTCTTCGCTACGCTCGGAATCTAAAATTAGTTGTGAATAAATATTTTTTCAACAATTAGTGACTTTCTTTGGCCAATACTTCAGTCTTTTTCGTGTTAGTTGATTTTGATATCGGAATATTACGAAACCTTTCAATAATTTCTTTTTTATTTCTAAACGGTACATTTACAGCATACATTCTTAGACAATTTCGCCATCTGTTAATGGCTTCATATGTTTAGCAAGCGTCAACAAAATTTTCATTGAAGTCTCAGCGCATTACTAGAATTTTGGTTGCTGATTTATATTGTATACGTAGATTTTCAAGTTTTTATCTACGAAGTTCGCAACCAGTAGTGAATCTTTCGGTAAATGACAAAATATGAAGTCTCATAATGCCGTTTAACATTAAAAATGTTTTGATAGGCACTGTTTGGTAACAAATCAAATAAACCAACAATGCCTTTGTTCGTTTTGACAAGATGAAATAGTTTAAGTCCGTTCATTTGGGCGAAAACTGTCTGTTTACAATTTAATTTTTTTTTTTTTTTAACTCTTAATGTAGCGAAGGTTGTATTGGTTTTACAAAGATGTTTATTATTTATTTTTTTTTTTTTGTATAAACTTTTTTTTTATCAGCAAGCTTATGTCATTTTTTGATTTTCCTGGCAGTTTTCCCAATAAAAGGGAAAATGTACGAAATATGTTAGTGAAATACTACGATTTTTTTTTCTGTGGACAACTTTTCTACCAGAAATCTTGCTCCAAATTACAATAATAGCGATTTTTCTAGAAAAGAAAAATAGAACTTAGGGAGGTTATTTTTCAATTTTCCCAAAAGTTTTCCGGAAAAACGTAGAAAAAATGGGAGAATCGGTAAAATAGTAAACAAATATTATTAAAGAAAATATATAATGCATATGTAATTATTTTAACATAATATTACATATATAATGTTGAAAAAGCATTACTATGAACTGAACTCCCAGCAGAATCGTTTTTTAATGATTAATCGTTGCTTACAGATTCTAAAGACCTTCAGTCACAGATAAGAACAATTAGACGACCCAATCATTACTTTATTATTTATGATCACTATAAGTAGGTACGCGTTATTAGATTGGACTTATTAATTGCACAATCATGATTTAGTGCCAGTATTATGATTTCTCAATTAATTTGATTATTTTTTATTTATGATAAGTTTTGTTGGAATTAATCAAGCCCATGGAGCGCAACTAAAATTAGTTAAATTATTTATACTATTATTATTATAATTTTTTTGTTACATTTAAAATATTATATTAACACTATGCACACATTTTGTATACGTCCAATTGTTTAAATTTATTACCTAAAAATCTTGCCATATTGCTAATGGCGGTTATAAAAACACTTCTGTATGTAATATAGTGTACCTTTGGTGTATTGTATTCTGTACAAGGAATATCTCCAGTTTATTAGACTCAGATTGCTATGAGAATGCTACAGTAAAGTAAAATATTGAAGTAATTTCTTTAGACTAAATAGATTTCACTAATCTTGATTGTACCTAAAAGATAATGAAATGTTCTTTGCATATCTGCGAGTAATTTTTTTTAGATAATATGCAATAACAATTTGTATATAATTATTTTTGATAATTAAATTCTAATTATTATAAAATGATTGTGTCATAAAATATTAATTTTTCTGTAAACTAAATTATGTAACATTCAATTAAATAGCATGTATGATAAAAGTTCCTCCTTGTATATGTCATATTGGCAAGGTTTTTGCTATGCAAAAACTAAACTTAGTTTCAAAAAACCTTATCAATGAGGTGTTTGCAATGAATGAATTCAGTCTACTAAAAATAAAGTGCTAAAATAAAACTCCCGTAAATTTAAATATGAAGTCATTCTTCTGGACTAAAAATTCTTCAACCGTCATAATTGTATCTAAAAGATCATGATGATCTTATGTGTATTAAGGTAAAAAAACTTTTTTTACTATTGTGAACAAATCTAATTAACTACTTATTAAATATTCTTGATAATAAAAATTTCTTTCTTTTTTTTAGAATAAAATAATCACTAAATATCTATTATACATGAGAAGTATATTGAGTTTCAACTATACTTCAGAATATTTTCTTCGGAAGGAATATCTCCAGTCCTTTTTTTAATCCTTTAGAACGTACTGGATGGCAGACGAAAACTAGTCGAAACTCACGTATATCAGTCCCATTTCTTGCAGTTTTAGCAGTGGTCGGTCTCGCCACTAAGTATACGAAGTGAGCTGTATTAACTCAACATTTAACTGTCATTCGAATGCGTCAAACTACGAATTTCCTTATAAGTGTATAAAGAAAAATGAATGTTTTGAAGTGTGTGACAAGTGGCCGGTATGATACAGTAGATAATACAAGAAGAAAATTCGTAGGTATAATATTTTGTCAATAACTGAATTAAGTCAATTAATTCTCTGTATGCACGGCGGCTTCGTAGTATTCGACCAGTAGCAACCAATTATAGAACAAATACTCATTCTATGGGAGTGGCTTGTTAATCCACCATCGATCAAAAACCGCAGTTAGATCTCATTTGAAAAATGGTATGAACACAAATTACTACAAAAATTCTCTTTAAAAGACAATATTGTAGTTATTTCTTTTAACTGAATAGTATTCATTAATTATGATAGCACCTAGAAGATAATTATGGGGTTGAATAGCGGTAAGTAGTATTTATTTGTAGTTACAATAACAATACTTATGTTTGAATTTTGTTTATTATAAAATGTATATTACAAAGCGATAGATATTGTAAGATAAATATTGTTCTGTAAACCAAATCAAGTAAAGTAAATTTAAATAGCATGTGCAAGAAAACTTCTTTCTTACATATGTCACATTATTGAGATATTTATAGTGTAAAAACTAAACTTAGTTTAGAAAATCCTCATTAATGTGATGTTTGTAAAGAATGAATTCAATCTACTAAAAACAAAGTGCTATAAAAAAAACTGACTTAATGTTAAATATGAAACCTAAATGGATGGCTTAAAATTCTTCAACAGTCATATGTATGTGTTAAAGATTATAATGAACTTCTATGTATTGAGGTAAATAGGATTTTTTTTAAGTAAAGATAACTTTTATGTTATTATTTTTTAAGTTTTTCATTTTGATTTTCAGTAAAGGAATATGGCCAGATACCCAGATATAAATTGCATTACAATACAAAACTATGTTACAAGTTATCAAATATCCAGATAAATTTCTTTCTTTTTTTCTTTCTGTCATTAAATTTGCGATGTCATTAATACATGAAAAGTATATTGACTTACAAGGAGACCTCTGTATTTGGAAGGTACACTCCAGTCAATGAGACACATATTGCTACAAAAATTATCCTGTGAAAAATATTGGAGTCATTCCTTTGGACAAAAAAAGTTTTCACTAATCTTGATATCACCTGGAATACAATGATGAAAATTGAAAAACTGATTTGGAACCCATACAAATAACCATAGAATCAACGTAAATATCCATTCATGTACCCCTACTAAATCCCGACTTGGATGCATTGACTGTGGATGACCTTCAATTTATAACTTCCGGAGATCAGAGTGCAAAACACCCTTCCTGGAACAGCAGCTTACAAATAAATCAGGCAGGATATTACACAAACCCATAGAAACATCCAACTCATACACTATTTGCCCAATAGACTCACGTACTCATCATTCTTACAATCCAAAAAATCTTGACATCGCCCTAGTAAACTTTAAAGACCGTGACTGCTTCATAACAAATCACAATGAACTATCTTCTGACCATAACCTCATAGCATTCTCAATCTACGACTCCATTACAACATCCAGCCCTCCAAAAGTGAGGAAAAGGATCAACTGGAAAAAATTCACTGAAGAACTTCTGAGAAACCTCCTTAATATTAACAATCATATCACAAACTCCGCAGATATTTACTACGAAATATTATCAAACAAAACAACGCATACACCGCTAACCACTCTCTAAAATCTTAGCCAATAATACCTAACATAGAACAAGAAATCAACACCTGGACACATCAGGAACCTTACCAGCTGAAGCAAAACGCAACAGGAAACAAAGACCCAACAATTTTATAAATTTATAATTTAATCACCATAAACAACTTCACACTTCACTCATCATCCCAAACAGCATCAAATAACTAAATTTCAACCCAACCTAGGCAATGAGCAATAGACATAGGCCTGATTTTAACATCAAATTGTATTTAAAGTAATACTTCATTTATTTATGAAATTTTTAATACACCTAGGTTCTCATATGGAAAATCTAAAGTTGGTATCGCCACTTAAACTCCTTAAATGTTGTGAAAATTTAAGTATTTGAAAATATCGGCTTTAACTACATTTAAAAATTCCAAAAGCAGAATTTGAAAGTATGGAAAATTTAACTAAAATAATGGAGCGAGCACGTTTAGTGAATCATTCTGTATATTAAACAACTTTATGTATCCTACCTTCCCACCTACTACAGTGGCACACCCAACCCCAATATTAGCTCTTTTATTCTTTATATTTTAATACTAAAAGTTTGTAATTTATTTGATAAATCAACATTAAACAAAAAGTCTTTCTGGCTAAATAATAATATATTGTTGCTATTAATACTTGGTAGTTACGTAGATATCTATAATTCATCTAATAACATTTTCTGAAAATAAAAAATTTGAAATAACAGAATAAAATTTTTTTTATAACAAAATGTCAGCCAAAAATGAGTAAATTAGAATCGTGTATAAATTTGCGTATCAATATAATGTAACATACTTTTTTTATTATTTCAGAAGCCAGTCAGATTCAAAACAGAACGATGCTTCTAATCAAGTCACCACGTTTACTCCCTTACTATACAACTTCCGAGTTATGCCACAAATTGGAAGTGACCAAGCATATGCACTTCAACAACCTTTTGCCACATTATTCGATAATCTGATCACGGTATTATGGGTTGTGTATAACAAGAAATCAACTCTTAAAATTGGTAAGATTTATTTCTGTGATCTGTAAACATATTCAAATTATATATTTCTTTTTCCAGGTATTAATCAACTGCAATGGGCATTAGAGTTCATGAGATCTATGAAAGTAGAATATGGTTATCCAGAATGTATAGGAAAAATTGTCAGCGAGTTTGAAGATCAACTTATAATGTTATATTCCATGGTAGGCAAAAAGATTGATGAAAATAATCAAAAAAATGAAGTCGAAATTAGCGAAAAAAATGTCAATGATAAAAGTTCAAAAAGTAAGTACCTACTTGTAAAATGTATTTGTTCAAATTTTTTGAACTAACATTTTTACCTGTTAGAAGTAATATTAACGTATACAGAATGTCCCATGAAGATATATACCGATTTTAATATATCCGGAGATAATAAAGATAATCAAATTCTGTTTTTTTATATTTCTCACAGGGATAAGGTACCCAAAATTAACAAATCTACAAGGTATTTCGACTAATTTGTAATGTTTTTTCGAGTTTATTCTTCTGAACATTTTGACGTATCAATTTTTTATTTTTATTAAATTCGTAATTTTTGAAGTTACGAAAAAAAAAAACTATATAGTTAATTAAACATAATAATAATTAATTAGAGAATACGATTACAGCTTGCAGCATATTATAATTATAAGTACTTTTTACTGAACTTAAAAAGTTATTAAAAATTACGAATTTAATGAAAATAAAAAGTTCATATGTTAAAATTATGAGAAAAGTGAACTCTATAAAAAGGTTGTATTCAAATTTTTCGAAAATAATAAAATAAAGTTATTTTTTTTTTTAATATTTTTACCAAAATATAAAAAATGAATTAAAATATTAATATATTTAGTCCTTATACTTGTGAGTAATACATAAAAAAAAAACAGAATTTTATTATCTTTATTATCTCAGGAAATATTGCAATAGGTATATCTTCATGGAACATTCTGTGTAAAAATATAAGCATATCTGTTAAAAATTGTAAACATGATTAGATTTGGATCGTAACGAGGGGTTTATTAGTTTTACTAAGATGTGTTTTTTTTCTGTCTAAACAACTTTTCTATCAGAAAACTTGCCCCGAACAATAAACTATAGAATCTTTTCTGAAAGGTAATTTTCACTCGCTGGTGCATCGAGTTGGTCATTTTTTGATTTTTTGAGGGGTTTTCGAAATAATTAAAATAAAACCCGAAAGAAAATTATAGATAAAACTTTAAATATTTGCGGCGCGTCGTGGCGTTTCTGTTTTCATTGATTTCATTGTGTTATACTTAAGTTTTCTACCAGAAATATTACTTCAATAGAAAAGTTAATAATATCGATTTCATTTCTTATAATATTTCACCACTAGCGGAAAAAATTATTTTCTTATATCTAAAGTATTTTTCATAATAATTGGGAAAAACCAAAAGACGCGAAATATACAATTTTTTTCAAATTATGGCACGAAGATTTTATTTAAATTTGTATGGCTTATGTTTTCTACCATAAATATCGTTCTAATAAAAAACATCAATTAATATTTTTTGTTGAATTTTTAATGTAACCAAGAGAGTCGTTTTTTGATTTTCTTCGTATTTATTTTTATAATTGAGCAAAACCGAAAAGAAATGCAGAAAGTAAGGAAAAATGTACAAAAATAATTGTTTAATTTTATATTTTTATGTAACTTATGTTATAACATAATCATAGAGACTTGAAATTTTGACAAAAAACATAAATTTGCTTTTTCTAGACGTGGTAAAATATTCAAAACAAATTAAACTATTTTTGAGCTATTTATAGACATTTTAATTTTACGAGTTTTATAGGTAATTTTTATTCGGTAGGTACTGTGTAGTAAATTGATTAGACTGAAAAGAAATACCAAACGAAGAAAAAAACCAAACAGCGCTTTGTATCGCTTTTCGTTAGCGACGGTTTATCTTTATGTACAAATATAAATTATAACTTTATGTATCCCGCTTTTCCCACAACCCATCTATAACAGTGGCCACACCCGTCCCCAGTATCAGCTATTTTTTTTCTTTTTATTATATTTTTATATTTTAATATCATAAAAATACAATTACTCGTCAGGCATTATAATATAGTTAAATATTTGGATTCATTTATAGGCTTTGGAATTGAAAACGCTCCCGTGAATGGTTATATGTCATACAACGAAGAGGATATCATGAATAAATTAGATACAATAAAAATTGTAATAGATCCGGTCACTCGGAAATCGAAATATTTAAATGAGTTAAATTCACTAGGGAAAAGAAAAGAAAGGCCAGATCGGTGTGCCGCAGAACAAAAATCATCCAAAAGTAATACAATTTATTTATAGATTAATATGTCTAAGAAGAAAAATAATTAAAGAAGATAACTGTTTATAACTTTATATTACTTAATATTAATAAATTATCTGGTATATTTAATTTAGATTCTATGATTGATGCCTTGGAAAAACTATTGAAGAAAACAACATACGCAGACACAAAAACCGGAGTTAAAGAGTAATAGAATATTATAAAAGTAATATGTAAATTTACAGCAATTTTATCCTATTTGTAATTTAATTTTCAGATTAATTAAAGAACTAAAAGTGGAAGGCCCTCCAGCGAAATGACACCTTAACACATCGAATAAAATCACTTAATAAAAAATTAGTCCAATCAAACACGATTTTGCTACTTCGTTTTCCCAGAATCCACAAAAATCTTAAGTTAAGTTCTACGGTATCCTAAATTTTTAAAATAATTCTATTAATATATACCGCATTTTTTGCTGGAATCGCATAACTTCCGTACCCGTTTACCAGAAAACCGTAATAGACTTTTCGCACAGAAATCAAAAGGTTTTAGAATTGGCTACTGAATGAGTCCTGACAAATGAAGGTCGAAAAAGTGAAATATTTGAGAACTTGGGATTTTAAATATTTACCCCTATGCGATTTCAGCTAAAATGATCTACATGTTAAATTTTACATTCGGTTAAATTTTCAAAAAAGTTCTATCAACATAAAGAAAAATATACTGTATCTGACCAAAGAAGCGCAGAGGTAGCAATGTTGGTTTGGATAAAATACTAGGCGATATTCCATAAGTCATAAATATCAAAACTATTAATTATAAAGTATAAGGGGTGTTGTAAATTTATAAATGTGCAAGAGATGTTTGCGAGACAAAGTGGGACATAACTTGGCATAAATAGGCAATCGAAACGAAGCAATCGACAATAAGAAATACACGATGATTTGAAAAAAAAAAAAATAATGCCAGTAAAATATAATAAGGTACCGATGTTTTCTACCAGAAATCTTGCTTCAAAAATCGAAAAATGACAAAAGTTCGAATTTCTTCCTTTTAATATCTAACCACTGACGGAGGATTTCGTTTTTTGAAAATTGAAATAGTTTTTGGAACAATCGAGAAAAAATTAGGAATTTAATAAAAATAAAAAGTTGATACATCAAAATTTTCAGAAAAATTAACTACAAAATGGCTATCTTTAAATTTTCCAAAAAAAATAAAATAAAAGTTATTTTTGAAACTTTTTTTCTGGGAAGTAAGATAATATTGTATATATTTACCTCCCTTCATTGTATTTTAATTGTAAATGAACGATTAACATAGGATATATTCATCTCCCTTTAGTGCATTTAAATTGTGAACGGACTATTAACATAGGATATATTTACCTCCTTTTAGTGTATTCAACCGTGTACGTAAGTATAACGGAGGAAAAATTTACCCCCGTCCAGAAATATTTACCGGGAGTCAAATATAACCTAGGATATTTTCATCTCCCTAAAATTTCGTTTGTGATAAATTTTTCCTAGGATATTTTTTCCGGTGCTGGTAAATATTATTAGGGGTCTCATGATTATTATTTGGCAATTTTAAAATATTGATAGTTGATTAATGATAATAACTCACTCAAATGATAATTATTTGATTATAATAAAAAATTTGCATAACGGATTAAAATGATCTCAAAATTAAAATGAAGATTATGTTTATTTTCTAGCTATCAAATGGACTATTTTTGGTGTGAAATCATAAGATAATGCACGTTTAAACCACGGATAAACATAAACTTATCTATATATTTTAGTTTTTGGTTTAAACAAGGTATATAGATAGTACAGGTTGCCTCAAAGTCATGTAGACAAAAGATTCCCCTTAAAAAATGTCTCTACTGACGTCATCTGAAATATAAAATGCATGGCAGTGTGTTGCTACCCCACGACTTCGTATTTTAATATTCTTATTTCTTAAACTAGTATTTAACTAAAACCTTTGTACCAATTAACTACCTTATAATTTAATACATTACTACATAAATAATGTGTTTAATACTTATGAGTTTTTACCGAATGGCCAATTGTTTTGACTATAAGCAAATCGAAATAACTATTTTAGTCATATGAAAGGCTGCTACTTACTCACTATTTCTTATTTTTCTCATTTAATTTTATAATGTTTACTTTTTTCACCTAAAAGTTACTTTTTAACTTATTAAAAGTTGATACAAAGTTATGTTTTTTATTTGAAACTAAAAGAATGACTGTATTTTTAAAACTATTTTTGTATAGAAGAGTAAAGTATAAAATGTTAAGTGATAATGATAAATGATCTGTTTTATAAATCTGAGAAAAATTAAGCATTATGTAATTTGTGTTTCTCTATTTAACTATTTTTTTATAACATCAATAACCAATAATAACTGATTTACAATGTTGAAAAACAATCATTATTGATCAATTTTTTCTACGATTTAAAACAATTCGTACAGTTGTATAGTTTAATGCTAAATAAAATAAAATTTTTTTTTAATTCAATCAATATGTAATAAATTGTTTTCATTATAATTACATATCTACTTAATAGTATATAATTTATAAAATGATTATGCATTTGATGTGTAATATATTATATATTGTCATATATACATAATTACTATTAATTTCCCATTAAGTTATTGTTTTTCTTTATTTGTTTAATTTTTGTAATCAAATTTTTAGATCATCTAATATTACTCGTGGATATTATATTTTAATTCATATGTTTCATTCGTATGAGTAGTTGCTGTTTCATATAAGTTTGAATGATTGGTTTATATTTTTCATCGGTAACTGATCACTAAATAACATGTTATAGTAAACCGTTTGTAAAGCGTTATTATAATATATAAATATAGTAAATAACATTTTTATACTTCGAATGACGCCATTGCGAAATATTCTCCCCCTACCATTTTACTATAATTTCCACATGGAGCAACCTGTACTAACTATATACCTTGCATTTAAACGATTTGGTATTATTACTGACCACTATAGAGTGTAGGTTGTTATGGGGATAATTATTATTACTTTTTAAAGTTTTACCTATGATTGTTCAACAAATTTTATTAATAGTAGTGCTGAGTTTGATCATCATTTCTCATGAAAAAAAAATTATAGAAATAAATGTATTCTAATATTATCTGATAAATAAAAATAACTGAAGTAAAAATAAATGTTCCTACATTATTTAAAGTTTTGTTTATATGGTTATATAATTTTTTTGTTACACATTTATCAGAGGAAAGACTCCTAATTATATTTGTTAATTAATAATTAATAATCCTAATATACGGGGTATTCAATCTATCTTAGAATACTGATTATCTTGGAAAAAGTTAACTTTTTTGGAAATTTGTTTTAAAGAACAATTAAGGAACAAGCTGTTCTAAAATTTAACATTTACATTATTTTTTGTCGCCCTAATTTTTGGAGAGTAAAACGACTACCTACTTTTGATTTTCAAATGGCATTTTAAATTAAAAATTCCATAAATAGATGGAATGGTAGTTAAAATAAATATTAATGTTTAAATTTGTGATTTCCGTAAATCCGTTAACGAGATATTCTTCTTTTAATTTTGAGTCGGGAAAGAGTAGTGGAGCATTATTTATGTGGCGGCACAGCGAGCGGCGTTTTAAGGTTGTACCACTACTCTCGCCAAACCGAAACTTACAAGTGGAATATTTCGATTGACGGAAATTAAAAATTTAAACACCAACATTTATTTTCACATTTAAGGAAATTAAAAGTTATATATAGAAATTTAAATTTAGGTTGCCATTTGAATATCAAAAGTAGGTAGTCGTTTCACCCTCAAAAATTAGGGAGACAAATATAATGTGAATGTTAATTTTAGAACAGCTTGTTGTTTCTTAAATATTCTTTAAAACAAATTTTTCAAAAAAGTTAATGCTTTCCAAGATAATGAGTATCTTACGATAGATTGACCCTGTATAATATTTAAATATTTTTTCCATGTACAAAATAACCCGGAACCTAATTAAAAAGTAAAAATAAACTTTGAAGGACTACATCCTCGTTTCCTCCCTTTTATAAGCATTAATGTAAATTAAAAGTATAGATATGACTTAAAAAATATAAATCTGGGTGTTTTGATACTAATTTCGAGTCGTTCGGAGAAAACAACAGTGCTGGGTCATTTTGGATTTTTGTGGGTTCCGGAAAAACGAAGAAGTAACAAAATCTGAAAATGGCGTATTAAAATTTAGCAAAATCGTACCTACGAGTATTTTGATACTAATTTGAAGTCAATCGGAGAAAGTGCCGGTGTTGGGTCATTTTGGATTTCTGTGGATTCTGGAAAAACGAAGAAGTTACAAAATTTATCAAAATCGGTACGAGTGTTTTGATACTAATTTCGAGTCATTCGGAGAAAATGTCAGTGCTGGACCATATCTGATGATCACGTGGTCGATATCAATCTGGCCTATTTGTTTCCCGTTTTGTAGTAGAAACAACTTAATTGCATAAATTAAAAATGCATTAGCAAAATGTAGCAAAATCGTACTAGTGTTTTGATACTAATTTTAAGTCAATCGGAGAAAGTGCTGGGGTGCTTGGTCATTTTGGATTTTGGTGGATTTTGGAAAAACGAAGAAGTAACAAAATTAAAAAATGCCGTAGCAAAATCATGACCTCATTTTTGAAGTTGTAGTAAAATGTAGTAAAACCTACATATTTTTAGCACTAAAATATTAGATTACAATCATAATAGAAAGTAATGAACTATAAAATATAATCATAAATTAAATTATAAACTAGTTTAATTATAATGGATTTTTCTTCGACAATATTCATCGTTTAATTTTAAAATGATGAATATTGTTAACTGAACATGTCGAATTGATCACTAGATCGCGTATAAGATATAATAAGATTATAATAGAAAAATAATAATAATTATCCATTACATTTTATATGATTATATTATATTATTTTGACTTTTTGAAATTATAAAATTAATATTACCTAATAAATGATAGGTACCTGAGCCATTTTTCTTATTCTGTTTCGATTAGGACAAATTTGACTAATAAATATGACTAATATGATGATATGGTATAAACATGACAATATGCAGTAATGTATTGGAGAGTATATTAAACACAACAATAATAATACCAGTGATGGTGACGACCATGATAATGTTATGAAAATATTTTATTATTATTATTATCAGCTAAATATAATACACCGGACAAATTGTTCGTTTATCAATAGCTTAATTTCGATAAAGATAATCTTTCACAAGAAGAAATTTCGATCGGTGATGTTGTAAATAGTGTTAATAATTTGTAAATATTTGGAAAACTATTAAATAAGCTATTATAGGAGACGATATTTATTTAACCAATGGTGAATGGGTTTATTTGAAATTATTTGAAACTTATTTCAACTAAACTCATCTAGCCAAATTAACAGCCTGAGTTTTATTTTTAATTCACTGTTATTTATAAATAATTTAATACGATGGAAAGTAAAGTTGTGTCTTGTTTATTCAGCTTTAATTTGTAAAGCCAGGTCCACGAGTGTGATGTCGTAAACCTCGTTTCACGCAGTTTTCGGGCAAATAATGTCGGATCGGCTTGGGGCGCAATCTAAATCAAAGAAAAGCAGGGTTGGTTGTGTCACGCAGGTAATGCTGCTTGGCATAAATGCAAATTCCAAGCAACCCGTGAATGTATTCACTCAAAAAAATATTTTATTATTAAATATCAGTAGTAGTAGATGATTTAATGGGAGGGGGGAGGTAAACTGAAGACAATTTGGATAGTCCGTTTTTTTAAAATATAGTAGCGATACATACAATTCAATATACTCGTATCTTTAACACAGAATACTAGAATTGCCTTTTATAAACATAGTAAAATTTTTAAAATATATTCCGGCTTGACAATTTTACACAAGATTCATCATTATTTTTACTTAGTGATAAAAAAAAAAAAAAAACAACAAAAGTTAATATTTCAAAATAATGCAGGACCGAACATTGTTCAGAATTGTATTTCATTATCAATGATTTATTCTTTGATACAGATATAAATTAAATAACTATGTTTGATATTCTACCTTTTTAACTTTCCACCTGGAACAATGGCAGGTTTCTCCAGTTTATCGGAATGAATTTTTGATAAATGATCGTTGCCTTTGTCGTCGCTTCATCGCCTCATTAGAAAATATTTTTTCACATAAAAGGCAAAACGGTAAATGTACATTAAAGGTCTATTTACACATAACCGTTCCGTTTCCGTAACGTCCGTTCAGTATCAGTGCAAGAGTATTTACACATAACCGTTCCGTGTCCGATCAGTATCCGTTGTCCGTGCCCGNTTTGGGTGTTTGAAAAAACTTTTTAAACTCGAAACTTTTTTTTTAATTTTACAAATACGTCTCCGCGAGTAGGTAAGAACAAACCGATCGAGTTGTCATACAACTGTTTACATTGCTCCGTATTTTCCATATCCGTATCAGTGAAATCCCCAAAAACATTGTCTCCGACAAATTTTAAAATACGGAAGCGGACCGTGCGGATACGGAACGGACATGTATAAACATGCCCATTTCGTAATAAGTAAACGAACTTTAAACGTCGCACACGGAACGGACGGCACTGACACTGAACGGACACGGAACGGATGTGTGTAAATAGACCTTATGTGGTGACGCGATAAAACCAGTACTTTAGGTACTCTACTAAATACTGACGGCACTTCTTTTTTGCACTACGATCACTCGTTATAAAAATATTTATATTACAAATTACTTAGTTAAAATTAAGTCTGTTAATTTTGTCAAACACACTCGTTTATTCGAAAACGCGACGTTCACCGTAGCGATATCAATCACGCACTGCAAGATACAGTGTGCAATAGTCTTGTAATGGTTGAAAATGTAAAAATTAATCTATTATGAACAAGACCTTTTACGTTCCCGATACGTAGAATGCGATTAGATATATACACGCGAGTATATATATATATATAAATAGTTACAAAAAATACATGCATTGTATCGCATAATATGAATTTATTTGGGTTATTCCTATGTGAAATACCGAGAACAATTATATGTAGCGGTAGTCGGTATCGAGTCATTACCGTTTTATCGTCTACACACGTAGCATTATCGCCGTTAGCCGTTTCCCCGTAGTTTTTAAATTTAGATAATACTCGTACAAGTACAATTTATCAATGTAGTTATATACAAATAGGTGTCCGCCGAAAAATATATTTCCGCGAATGTCCAATTATTGCTAGTGTTGTTGTATAATATTAATAAATTGTATTATTTTTAATCTCCGAGTTTCAAAAAGCTCAACGCCCCCTTCAAAACTATCGCCCCACCCCAGAGAGACCGAAATGCCCCCGAGGGGGCGGTACCGCCCCCGTTAAGAACCGCTGTACTATACTGTATATTATAAAATCAACGGTATTACTATTAAGCACTAATACACAGTGGCGAATTGTGCTATCAGGAGATTGGGGAGTTTCCCGGTGGGCCGGAGCCCGGTCATAACTCCGTGATCATAAAACCTATCATATATGATCCTGTCATCATAAAACTATTTTTATACTATTATTATTGTCTCGTGTCAAGCAACCTTGTGTATAAATATGATAAACTAAAATTAATAATAACATAACAGATATGAGTAGGTAACATAAAATGAATGAACATGAATAAGTAAATAAATAAATAAATAATAGTTAACTTGGTGTCAGTTTAGTTTGTTAACGTAGTATAATAATATTGGGAGTTGTACGTAAAATTCTTTCTTGCCAAAACTTGGCAACCTCTATTCCTTCCTTGGTCGCTGACATGATATCGTCCAATGCGCAAGAAATTGAGCAGCTTGGATAGCTTATTAAGTGGGTCATGGCCTGAGTCCACAATTACAACATGTATCTTCATCAGGAATAAGACCCCAGTTCACCAGGTTTTCTTTGGATTGCCCAACCCCTAAGCTTAGTCTATTTATTGTTCTCCACACAGGCCACTCTAAATTGTTCCCTGCAGGTAGGTGTTCTCTAGGACTACAAAAAACCGTCTGTTGTGGAGTATTGCCTCAACAACTTTTACTAGTTAATAGTCTTCAGTGAGTTTGTACAATTTCTCCAGAAGTAAATTGTGGTTTACGGTATCATAAGCAGTGTTGAGCATTAACTAGATAAATAATTAATTTTTCTTTATTTTATCTAGATAATGAACAAAATTAGTTATCTGATGAATTATCTTAGATGAATAATTGAATTATCTAAAGTAATTCATCTAGATAAATAAATATATATACCCATCCGAGAAATTCGATAAAATTGAACTTGAAAATTAAAACCCATGTCTCATTAGTAAACCAACCTTGTGCAAATAGAGAACAAAGTTAAAAACGTAAAGTAATAGGTAATAATATTGCCCGGGTCGCTTATTTATGTTATTTCTAAATTCTAATAGAAATTTTAGATTTATAGAATCTAGTATAAATTGACAAAAAAAAAATGTAAATTAATTAATATAGTTAAAACAATTTTATCTTTTTTTATCCAGATAAATATTGTTTTATCTTTTATCTTTATCTAGATACATTTTTAGTTATCTTTGCCAACACTGAATTCATAGGCCGCTGTGGGGTCTATGAAGATTACTCTGATGGTCTTTTTCTTCGTAACCAATTTCGATGAATTATGTTAAGTTGATAATTTAGCCTCTGCATGATTTTCTAGACCTAAAGCTTACTTGCTCCTTTATGAGTTTTTTGTCAACAGTAGAGCCTAATCTATTTAGGATTAATCTTTCAAACAATTTATAAAGGATTTTATCCTTAAAATTGTTCTTTTTTTTAATTTTCGAGCAAAATATTTTCCCGACGAACTATTATAAAGTGCCTAAATGTGTCGTGTCCAAAAATATGTAAAACAAATAATTGTTTTACATATCTGTGGTCGTATCGTGAGATATGTGTAATGGGCGTAACCTACCTTTTAACCACAAAATATACTTACAGTGTAGTATAGACACAGAACAAGTCGAGTAAAGACGTAGTTAATGAAGAAATTATTAAACTTTATTTATTTATTATCTTTGAGTCAAGACAAATCTCTTAGTAATTGGATAATATAAACTGAATGACCAAAATACAAACGGCAAAAATTCAAAAAAATACCTTACTAAGGCACAAACTAAAAAAAAGTTTCCTTTCAGAAAAGGTGCTACTCGGATACAAAAAATAATAATAACGATAAAAAAAAAAACACATATCATAGTAAAACCAATAGATCCCTCGCCATGCTCTGAATCTAAAATTAAGTCAATAAATAATTGAATATACTAAAGGTTTTATTATATTATACAGTCCGAGTATTATGATATTATTATGATAAGATAGTTAATTGTTATTAATACATTACCTACTAGTGTACAATTGTACATTAGGGATTTTGCTAAATATCACATAATATTATAATACATTCCGTATAAAGTAACCTACCTAACGCGTAATAATAAAACGCTGATGCAGATCAATCATTATAAAATATACGCCATGGTAGTCAGCTTTAATGTTTTGAAAACGTGACGATTCGACGTTTTCGTGTTAACGAAGAAATTTTAACTCGTGGGTTTAGCGTCATAATTGGATAACATAAATTATAATTACTCGGCACACACGACACGAGAAAAAAACCAGCTCGACAAAAGGTCAAAGGTATAATAATGATATTATGTAACAGAAATATCATAATATTATGATATTTCGAAATAAAAAACTGCGATATACTTGTAAACTAATTCAATATTAATTATAGTAAGAAACATTTTGAAAAAAAAAAATTAACATATGTTTTCAAATTATTAATAATTTTGGATTTCGAATGTAGCGAAGAATGTATTGGTTTTACTCAGATGTTTATTTTTTTATTTTTTATACTGTGTACAAAACTTCTACCAGGTCTCTTGCTCCGATATTTACGCTTGGTTTCATTTCTGAAACGGAATCCAGATTGAATTGTCAGGATGGTATTTTTGAAAGGTCGTTTTTTGATTTCTCAAGAGTTTTCCCAGCAAATGTGAAAAACCGGAAAAATCTGTACGATATAAAACAAATATTGTTAAAGAAAATACATAATGCCTATTTAATTATTTTACCATAATATGACATACGTATTATTGACAAAGCATCACTATCAACTGAACTTCGCTCAGAATCGTCTTTTCGTAAGCAATGATTTATTGTTACTTACAGATACAAATTAATTTCCCCTCTTTGTCCTACAGTCACAACTTTTCACCAACAGCAGTGGCTGCACCCATTGTGAGATGTGTGTTCGTCTTATAAATAGTAAACTATAATATAAATATAAACGATAATACGAAAATACTTGGATAAAATTCGCACTACGGGTGGACTTTTAAAGAAATTAATATATTAAAAATTAGTCGTGTTTTTTCTCTATTTATTAGCCAATAGGCAGCTTAATAAAGAATACTTTTATTTTATATTCAGAATACATATATTCGAATATTTTAAAAATCTATTGGAATACTTTTTGATTCCGGTTTTTTTTTTTTTTTAGATAAAACCAAATAATTATAACAATAATTCATAAATAATTAATTTCGTTTATTACAATTATACATAAATAATTAATACGTTTTATTATATTTTATTATCATAACTTTTTTCAAAATTTGTCATTTATTCTTATTTCTTTCTTATAACTGCACTTTTCACACTAATTATACGTTATATCGGTGCATTACTTAGTAAAGGAGTGTTGTATTAAAAAAAAAAAAAATGTTTTTGATAAGAGGAGTATTATCCAATGAAGTTAAATTATTTGTCAGACTCTTGGAATACTAAGTCACATTTCATTTTCAACAAAATTACTGAAATTTCAAGGAGAAAAGAAATTATTCAATAAATCGTCGGATTTATTATTTATAGAACTGCCACCTTACTCATTTGAAGGACTAGGGGAACTTTTGGAAAATTCAATAACAACTTGTGTATATACGAATCCGAAAGGGAGGAGAGGGTGAAGGACAACCGACACTTTGATGTGATAAACTTTGATTCGAAGATTTTCGGGCATGATTACGCAACCCAAGGGGCTCTTCTATACGACCGATTGTAAAAAGACTCTGAGGCGCCGTAAAACTTACCGGGTAGACAATCTAAATCTTAGCGTGATAGTTGCGACCATCGACTGTGGCGGTGGAGACGAGCAGCAGCAACAATGATACACAACAACGACGACGACGCTTTTGATGACGACCAGCAACTAACACTAGTTGGCGCCAAGGACAAGACACAGGTTATAATACACGAGAACATGGATGCGCAGTTTAATTAACTAGGAAGAACGGCCCTTTAATCGAATTTTTTACCTTTTATTGAATATTAATTGTTTTCACGCCTATTTTCTAGAAATTAAAACGGCTATAATTAAGAAACTATTAGTCGGATATAAATGTATAATACATTAAAACGGTTAGAATAATATTTTTACAAAATGGCTATTTTGATAATTTTCTAAAGTGAATAAATAAGTTATTTTTTTTTTTCGTATTTGGAAGATTAAAATAAGAATTTAATTTTTCTCCAAATCAATATCCCCCTTGAAGACAAACCAATTTAAAACAAAAAAAAAAAATATAAACAGCGCTAGAGAAATCCGTCGAACGCGGTGGGACACACTATATTATACCTATATGTCTTTAAATATCACTATGATTTCTACAAAATGAGTGGTTAAGGCAGAGGCGACATTGGGGGGAGGGGTGCAGGATGTGCAATCACACCAACAGTTTTTAAAACGTTTTCTTTGGTCTGCCGAATATAAAATATAAACGTCAATATGACTCTTAAGTGTTTTATAATATCATATATTGAGTTAGTATTTAAGACCACTATGGGGTATGGAAGTGTAGGAAAATAGTGGTCGAACCTATATAATTAGCAAAAAAAGACAAAAAAGAAGAGAGAGGGGTATGTCTCCATTTGTCCACCCCTGCAAAAAAAAAAGATGCCCATAATTGTGGTTTGGCAATGGTTTAAAATGGCCAGCAAAATGTTGGCACCAACAATAAAAACATTTTAATTACGTCCCTGTCATAAGTAACATATATACCTTAAATCCTCTAAATCAAATTAAACAATAAACAAAATTAGAACAATGAAATCCAAAAAAAAAATTAAAAATAATAAAATCATAATTCCCTTATTTTCAGAAATAAAAATACGTATGATTCCCAGTCGGTGGTCAAATTTCAAAAAATCCTCTCTGTACTAGTATATGCATATATTTGCCTATATATTCTCATAATACGGAATATAATGAACCTTCGTGATAAATTTCGAGTTTTTAGACCCTACGGTTCGGGTCGAGCGATAACGAATCGGTCAACAAATATCAATTATAATTTTATATTATATATATATATAGTTAATATAAAAAAAAATTCGTTTTCCATCAGCTATATCTACATTTAGCAGTAACGTTGGATAACATTGGACAAATTTATATTCGCCGTCGTCAGCGAATAAAATCGTAGGGTACGTCGTGCTATTAAAAATTTGAATAAAATCCATGACGAAATTATATTTTCCGCGTTTTTTTTTTCTGATAAGAAAACAGCCAGCGAGTGACGACAAAGGCAGATCACAGTCGTCGGCTTTATTTGCGATGACGAGGAGTGTTGAATGCCCTAGGAATTTGGTTTGTCCCCTTCCTATATTATATGAGGGTAAATTATACCTACCTCATATCTTATACCTACCTTAGAAACAATTATTAATACATGCGACTAATTTTACACTAGTGCGATTATTTTACACCAAAACCATTGCAGGTTTCACAAAACTTACCCATTTTAAAAAGGACAGAAAAAAATAAAACCGTTTTTCAGACAACGATTAGTATATGTTTGCTACGTTGACAACAGCATTTATTGGTTTGTTGGTTTATGCCGATTCGTTGTAGACATTGTAACGGGTGATGAATTGTTATTACAAAGAAATTTCTTTGATTGTAAGGCCTAACACACACGGACAACTCTACAGTTACATTTGTAATACATACAGTTACACCACTTTAAATTTGACGGCACACATCTCTGACGATTTCTTTTGCAGTTGTAGCACCACATCTATATGTATAGTGGAGTTCTTTAAAAGAACATCCGATTGCTAAATATCTGAAAAAGTAATATAACTTATTACACGTTATATAGGCCGAGCCGCCATTATTACGTGTATATTAGATATTATATTTTTCTCAAATGCTACCATATTAAACGCCGTATACTGCAATAACTTTTTTTTAATTTTAATTTACCATTAAAAAGCCAACAATTTAAAAGTACATTTTTTTTAGCTATTACACTTCAAAGAAAATGGAAAAGTTTAAGAGACTCAACAGAGAATTAAAAAAAAACAATGAACAAAAGAGTGGATCTGGTGCTTAAACATAGGCAATATTTATATTTCAATAATTTATCTTTTTTAAAACCTGTATCTGAGAGAAGACAAACTGAAAGTTCAATCAATGATACTTTTCAAAATGTAGACGAACAGTTCAATTCTAGTGATGAAAGCCAAAAAGTGACTAAAAAAAGGAAATCAACGAAAAGTATAGATAATGAGAATGAGTTAATAAAACAATTATCACATCGTTTATCAGATCGTATGAGCAAACAAGATGAACAGTTAGATAATATTGATAGTGATAAACATTTCTTACTGTCATTATACGATCGTTTCAAATCCATTGATAATAACTTAAAATGGCAAGCCCAAATTGAAATAATGAATGTAATTCAAAAATATAGTCAACCTAATACCCAAAATTATAATTATGAGTTGTTTGGTAGACGTTTGGATAATACACCAAGTCATACTTATAACACGACCGAGTATGAAACAAGACAATACCCGATGTATCCACATAAAAAATATCCCAGCCATATCGAAGTCTCTCCATTTCGAGCACCTACAACAGTGAATGTACCAGAAATCTCGCCAACTTACACTCAATCAAATACTTCACCAGACAGCATTTCATCTCAGGCCACCGATGATGATCACGATTCAACTATATCAAATATTTTCAATTAAAATTATGATATTTACATAAATGGTTAATTTATAATAGTATAATATGTACTTAATCATTTGATATGTAATGAATAATAATTTAATATATAATAATTTGGTATGTAACTAGTATAATTTACCTTATAGTAAGTGCGAGACGTTCGTCAGCTTTTATACTTTTTCTCGTGGTTGAGTCGCTTCGTTGTATGCATTCAGTTAGCTTACTTAACAAATAATCAAAAGTACTTATACTCATCCTGAAGTAATTAAAAAATTTATCATCGTACATTTTTAAGGATTTGTACAACAAATAAAACTGACTTTCATCCCGATTTTCAATAATGAGATGAATCCAATATTGTTTTGGTTTCCGACGACGTCTTCTGCGTAACAAAAGTGTTAACAACAGTGTTTCTGTTTCTTCGTCGGAATCCATTTTTACAGTGGCCAGTAGGTATGGTCTAGGTAGGTCATATATTATTATATTATTTGTGGTTGTGGTGTGGTTGCGTCGGCGACAGCTGGACCACAAAAGAGTGGTTCAAAAGTGGTCGTTTCAGCGACCGTACAACCACACGCCAACCACAAAAAAACGCTCAAAAATGATCCGTGTGTGTTAGGCCTAAAACGGTATCGTTTGAATATTTACTCGGCTTTTACATGCACAGCCAACACAGAACAAAACAAGACGATACGTACTCGACGATCGTGAATGACGCGCTCTCCACGAGGATCTCCGCGGTATACCTAATATTATAAATATTAAATTTATATTATTAATATTAATATTAAAACCGGTCAATGGTGTTATTTGTGGGGAGCAGGGTGTGCGGTCGCACCGTTTCCTTTTAAAATACTCCCCATAGGCCTGCTGTAATAATGCACCATTTTTTTTTTTTTACTTAATTAAAATTAAATTATATTTTTCTATTAACAGTATTGGTGTTTTATTGTTTGCCGTAAAAAAATATTGTACTATCAAGTAATTGAGTAAACAAAGAATGTGTCGTGCAGTTTATTATCTACCAGACATACCTGATACCTACAGAAGAAGATTATAGATAAGAAACCGTACGTTAAACAGTTGGATAACATCACGATTGACGGTCACTATTATGTAAACAATGAAAATTATGTCATTAGTGACATTAATGACATAATCACAACCAATCACAAATCCAATAATAACCATCACAATCATATCCACAATAACCAATCACAATGGCATCAAATAAAAGGTTTTTTTCATCGTTTAAAAATGTGAAATCGTATTTCCATGGGCTAGTGGCGGTGCCAGAACTTTTACTTTAGGTGGAAAAAGCTGAGGCCAACATTTTTTAGGAAGAGCCAATATTTTGTTTGATACCTATGTATCAATCCGTGGAGATTATTAGTTAAAATAATTGAATAAGCATAATATGTTTTCTTTTACAATAATCGTTTAATATTATACCGGTCTTCTCCTTTTCCCTTGTTTTTCAAATTTGGTAGGAAAACTGAAAAAATTTAAAAATTACCACCTTAAAGTACGTTCTCAGTCAGATTTTCTTTCAGAAAAAGTGTTATCGTTGTAAATCGGAGCAAAATTGCTGATAAAAAAGTTATTCACAAAAAAAATCGTAATATATTACTAATTTATTTTTACATTTTTCCGTTTCCTACATTTTTTTTAGCTTTTCACATTTGATGAGAAATATCCTGAAAAAATCGAAAAATAACTTCCCTTAAGTATTACCCAAAGGAAATTTTCTTTCAGAAAAAGATGTACATCATTTACATTGGAGTTATCGAAGTAAACTTTCTTGTAGAAAGTGTTCACATAAAAAAAAAAAAATAAACATCTTTGTAAAACCAATACATTCTTCGCTACACTCTGAATCTAAAATATAACTATGATCTCTATACATTTATGAAAGAAATGCTTTTATTACATTTTTGTATTTTGTTTTTTATTGTTATTTTCAAAAATATTCGTGGATAGAAACCATGCATTTTATAGACCTTGTACATTTTTAAAAACATTTGAGCCATTTTTAAGCTAAGTATTAGACATTTTAATTTTGGAAATGTTTTATGTAAGTAATATTAATTATTCAGTAAGTACCTACACTGTGGATAAAATTGTTAACAAAAATACTTGACAATTTAATAGGAGGTTCATTATAAGTTAATTTTAGTGGTCAACAAAAAGTTGAGTTTAAGGTAATATAATTTTTTTAAAAGAATTCTAATATCAAATTTTGAAAAAAATTGTAAATATTAAACATGTATAACTAACCTTCACTCGGAATCGTTTTTCATTAGCAAAATCATTGCATACAAATATACAGTAAATTCCCATCTATATCCTACTCTCCCAACTTTTCACCTATAACAGTGGCCCACCCATCATGTGAAGTATGTCTGTATTGTTCATTATATTTTAGTTCCTACAGTAAACTTCAATAAACAAATATATTTTTTTAAATATTTAGGTTACTTACTCAAGATTTTATTTTATTAATTATAAAATATTTAATACATTACTTTTTGTACATTTAAGCTAAATTTTATTGTAGTTAATAATTTATGATAAATTTCATTAAAATGTACAACTTTAAGTATCCATTTGGTTAATTTCTTATTTCTTATGGTTTTACAATTGCAAATGGTAGTTTTATTTTAATTTGAAGAAACTTTGATTATTATATCTAATACAGAAATATGTAATAAGAATAATTTAAAATTTAATGTTTTTTTCATGCGATTTTTGATATTATCCTATTGAAGATAATTTTGAATGTAGTATTATTGCTATATATGTACATTATACCAGACAAGCATACACAAGGGAGTTCAACACCCCCCCCCAAATATTTTTTTGTGTACATGCCCGCATTACACATACATCAATATAAGAAACAAAAAAACGAAATCAAGTGAAAAAAAAATAACTATGGATAAATAACACATTTTTTACTGGAGCAGATGACTAAATAGAATAGAATTAAACAAATTTGCAAATTAAAAACTTTATTACTCCTAATGTGTCTATCCTAAAAAGGATAATCAATTTAAAAATGTTTTACTCAGACCAGTTAAAAATATTTGTTTTGTTACTCAATAAAAATTTTTTTTATTATGTAGGTACCTACTTAACTTACTTTTTGTTTTATTTTTATACTTAGTCTCTCTTTATATTTTGACTCTACAGTTAACAAAATCCTACACTTTATTTAATTTGTTTATGTTTAATTAAATATAAATCTGTAAAAATTAAAATACATACAACATCAATTTATAAATATGTATGCACATAATAATAATTTGATATACATAATATTATTAAGTAGGTATTAATTTATTTATTTTAAAGACTTACATTTTCATTTTCTATAACAGATGCACATTTAAATAGAAAAAAAATATGAATTTAAACAATATAAAATATTTAAAAAAAAAATTAATAAACATTGTGGAACATACAATGTTGGTCTTATTTCAAATTCTTCTGGCAATCTGGACTGTACCAGTTACCCTGGAGCCATTTTTATGCCCACACAATTAATGTGGAAATATTCCACTTGACAATCCTGACTATCTCACCCAATCATTATAGGACTTCTGCAGTAACAATGTAATATGTTTGCAGTCTTAAGATATAAAGATAATGTCACCAATTTTCTATTTTCAGCCTGTTGTTGGTGTTGATATCGATTCACAACCACAATATCATTTAGTACACTAATAGATACTTCAATTTTATTAACATATGTTGTCATACTATCAGTAGTCTTAAGATTTTGTTTTTTTCTCATTGAAGAATACGAAGAATGTACAGAAACTAAAGATAATGAATTTTAATCTTTATTCTGTCTGGACAGTACCAGTTAACTTTTGAAAACATTTAATTTAAATTTTTTAATTGAATCTTATATTCAAAATGGTAAGAAGAAAACAAACAACAAATTTAATTGATTCATAACTTTATTTTGCTACTTTTAAATATTATTACATATTATTAACTATTTCAAATTAAATCAGATACCTAGTATGTAATATTTGAATTTTGTATACCTATAAATAGGGTTCTAAAAATGTAATGCAATTATTTTTTTAATTTCATTTTGATGAAAAATAAAAAAAACTTATTTAATTTAAAACTATAGTAGAAAGTACAGTAAACACCTCTACTTAGCTAAGTGTTAAGTGGAAAATGTTATAGAAATATTTTTTTACATATTATATAATAATGCATTTAAATATATTTAAAAAAAGCTTCAAAACTCATGAACTATATACATTTCTTAGTTTATGTTTATTTAATATTTTATAATTATTATTTAGGTATAGTTATAATCAGTCACTACAAGTTAAACTTCATGTAATATTGCTATTTGAATTCAAATAAAATAGAAAAATGTTGAATTTGTGAAATCCCTAGTATACCTAGCTAGTATTATTATAATTTGCAATATATAGTTTATAGCAGCGATTTTTAAACTGTGCTCCGAGAGAGTAGTCTAGAGGTTCCGTGGCTTTGTGGATACATCTGTATTAATTAAATTCACATCCTAGATCATGTTAAAATGTATAAATTACTAAAATAATATATTCTTTTTTCCTATTAAATTAATTAAATAATGTGTATGTAAGCATATTTTAAAGAAAAAAAAAATAAAAAAAAAAAATTTACAATTTATATAATTTTTTTATTAATTATTGATGTCTCAAACAGAGATTCCAGATTTTTGAGTTTCCATACATTTTTTAGAAATATAAGGATTCCACAAAAAAGTTTGAGAAACGCTGGTCTATAGGGATGTAGTAAACCCATTAAATATAGTATTACAAGCACTTACGATGTTACGAATGATACCTATGTCAATTACATACTATCCAATAGTCGCAGGGGACCTCGACACGTGCTAACCATCCGTTTTCCTTATTATTTCCTTAGTTACTATTAGATAACCTTCAGGAAGCATGTAGCATCGGTTTGTATTCCATATATATATATATATACGGGTCCTGATGTACACCGAAAGGCGGATCTTAAATCATCACTATCGCCTCACATAAAGTTGGTCAGCGTTCATGTCCTTGCGGACAAACCTCTGTTCCATTTTTTATGTGTTTTCTAAATTATATGATTTATACCAAATAAAGTTTTAATTGTGTAACTTCTAACCATGTCTACTATCTATCCTATCTACATAACCTTTCACCAGCAAAAGTCTATCATTAAATAAATCGTATGAGCATAGTCGCATAAGCCCTGGGCTCGCTACAGGACTATAAAATATGATATTTGTATAGTTTTAATATAATAATATACAATATTATATTAGTATTATCATTTATCATTATAATTTAAATAAATATAAAAGAAAAATAAATCATATTTTGAAACAAAATTATGTTTATTTATTTAAGTAGATAACAATACACTTAAACTTCAGAACTAAAGATTATAAATGTATAAAACATAATATAATAGTTTATTAATTTAGCTTAACATTAATTATTAACTAATTCATCCTCATGACCCTACCTACATATATACACAGGGCCGTGCCTAAGGAATGCCATAGAAGTGAAAGACAGAGAGGGGGCCTTTGAGAATTTTTAAAGTTTTGCAATTGAATATTTTTACGCCTAACGGACAGGTTGGACCTTTTTTTTTGCTCATTAGTAAAGTTTTCTGACACAGGTGGCAATTTGGATAGGCATAACACTGTATATTATTACCTATTTGTGTATTAAACAAAAATATGTGATTTTAGTTTCTTTTTATTATTTCCAACTATTCTGGAAATATGTTGCTCGTACTCATGTTTTTTAAAATTAGTACCTCAGTGATGAACAGCTCTCTTCAACATATCAAGGGTCTCTAGAACTTTGTTTGATAGTGGTTCAACCTACTCGTCACTTTTTTCATTCTCCCTTTTATTGTTGCTGGTAGCTTCATTTGTGATAGACTGATGTGATTAGAAACCTGTAATAAGTAATACCAAACATTTATTTGTACATTTAATTAGTGTTTATTAATAATATTTATTTTCAACAATATATTTCTTACGAAATTTGAGTCTTAAAACCAAATGTTTTTTTATATATTTGTATACATCCCGACAGTTCCAGGTGGTGAGTCTAATAAGCAGTTGGAACTTATAACCGGGAGTCTTGTAAGAGGTGTCGACTGTAAACGTAATGTGTAACTAATAGACTGATTTTTCCAGTTCAATTTATTCATTACTGTTCTGGCGAAATTCACGTTGCAGATGTTCAAATCTTGATTTTCAAAACAAATTATCACAGTGTATACAGATTAAAGGTGTTGCTGATAATCAATATGAAATCGAAAATATATTTGAAACATCTGACAGCAAAACTATGAACTTTGTCAAATGGAAAAACTATTCTACAGACCAATGCACTTGAGAAGTCTATCACAATTTTACAAATTGTAAAAAACTTTTAAATAATTACAGATTAAACAAGATAGAAAAATTTCAATTCACTTATGACACAACGATAATAATTACCTTTAAATGTTACACACACATACGACGAACATACTATAAATGCATATTGTGTAAATATGTAAAATATGCACCATGGGTGAGTGGGTGTTCTACGACAACTGATAAGAAGAAAAGAAATAAATTGAAGTCAAATTGACCAATCTTGAAACCATAAAATCCCATTGACCAATTCAATAATTTTAACTCATCAATATATTCATATCATTGATAAAAATATTATCGTGCACGATCGTGCCAACATGTTATCGTAGATAACCTAAGATTGCTAGCATAGACCTGATAATATGTTTATAGGTCTACGATTTCTGATTATGATTGTATGTCATCACCGCAATACTTTATTAATCATTGTTGATAATACTTCAGTATTAATTACTAATAGTAGGTTAAGTAGATACAAATCTATAAATCTATTATAATAACCTATATACCAGGTGATTCATTCAAATAGGTACACTCATTATCTCGGAAAGTATTAACTTTTTCCGGAATTTGTTTTCTAGAACATTTAAAACCCTACAATGCATGATGTTGCTTCCCAGCAACAACCGATAAAATATTTATAATCAAATATTTATCTATGTAAGTGTATATTAGCTTTAATCATAAACAAGTATGATAATATACTCCGTAGTTTACTTTTAAACCGATAGATAGCAGTATGTGATTAAAAAAATTAAACTATTTATCGATGGACCAATACATATAAATGTAACAATATTCTGGGTTTCTTTTCAATAATTTTAAATCATAAAATATATCTATGGATAACAATAAAAATATACCCGTGTTCATATGTATCTAAACTTTAGATAATTTCTGAGGTTATACAGATAAATCAAATATTTTATTTGTAAATCAATAATGCACGGTTGTTGCTTATACGCAACAGTATACATTTAGCACTACACGTGTAGTGCTACTACACGGGACACATATTTTTTTCGACGTTTTTCCGTGCAGTATTTTTGCATGTTTTATTATTTTACTTTTTGCATCACAAATTCGTACATTTGTTCATTATGTGTAGAAGATATTTGTTTGATAGAGAAATTGTACAATTGCTGAAAAATAAACTTCCATCCGAATCTGAAGACGACTTGGAATCTGGCGACTCGTCTCTAAACTTAGGAAATCAAATTATTCAAGAAACGATGAGCGTCAACCAATTTGAACAAATTTGACAGTTCATAAACTTTAATAATAATAATATGTTAACTAAAGGCCACGTGGGCCATGATAGATTACATAAAATTAGGCACCTTTAGAAGAAGCTTTATCTGTAGATGAGCAATTATGCTCAACTAAAGCTCCTTATTTTCTCAAGCAATATCTACAAATGAAACTCCATAAGTGGGAATACAAATTTTTTGTATTATGCGGTGTATCTGGTTTTTCCTACAATTTTGAAATGTATAGTGGCCAGGAAAACAATGACGTTAATAGCTATTCATGGGAACCAGAATTTGGCGCTTCGGGAAATGTAGTCGTTCGACTATGTAGAACAATTCCGAAAAATATGAATTATAAAGTTTATTTCGATAACCACTACACGTCTGTACCATTGATGGTGTATATGAAAAACCATCAAATATGTTCTTTAGGAACGGTTCGCAGAAATCGCCTGAATAATGTCATATTACCTAATGAAAAGGATTTTTTTTAAAAAAACCACGAGGTTCGTCAAATTAGTGTTTGGCAAACATTAATAACTAAGAAGTTTTTGCCACACGCTGGCGTGATAATAAAGTGGTAACTTTACTATCTACATTGGCGGAAATCGATCCGATGTTTAAGGGAAAAAGATTTTCAAAAACGGAAAATAAATCCATTGAAATAGACTGTCCACATATTGTAAGTGTATATAATAAACACATGGGAGAAGTAAACCTATTGGATAGTTTGTTAGGACGACAGAAAATTAAAATAAGAATTCGTCAATGATATTTAATGATTTTCTATCATTTACTTAACGTGACTGTTCTCAATTCATGGCTGTTACATAAGCGAATAATTGCTCAAAAAAATTAAACTAGAGGCAACGTTAAAAAACCTATGATATTAGCTGCGTTTAAATAAGATTTAGCCATATCTCTGTGCATATATTTAGAAATATAATTTTTTCTAATCGATATGCCTCTATTGTTAATTGGGTTACAAACGAGACTGTTCGGCTAATTACTGTGACGTTATGCTACTACTTACATAATATTTTTTTGCTCCTTTTGTTGATATCACATCGTGCATTATTTCATGTGTATTATCTATATAACACCTTCAAAGGAATTTTCACGCATTCTGAGAACCACTGGGCTCTTTTATCAAATATTGCTAGCGGAACATCCTTTGTACTTAGGGTCTTGTGTCTTTTATTGTTCCTCTACAATATCTACATACAGCCAGTTTTTCACTGCAGGGTTCAACAACGTAGGGCTCATAGTATCAAGGACTGTCAGATAGTTACAGCTCAAGTATAAAAATTTAAAAAAGTTGTACGAAAAAAAAGGGCTACTATACTGTAAGTAAAATTGAAATTTATGTCATGGCCATTTACATTTCTTTTTATTTTTGTAAATTTTCTTCTCTCATATTCAATATTGGAAGATCAAATGATAGGAGGTGAAAAAAAACAGGGTCAGCCCCTCGATGATGTTGAACAAAAAGTAAAAGACATCAGACTGTCTGTTGATGATTTCCCTCCGATTTTTGATTGTGATTCAAATTTTGGTGACAACAATGACATAACAGGTCAATATTTTATAGGTTAATATTATATTATGTTTTTAGGGTCTCTGTTTTCTCTATTTCAAAAACAGGATGCAATGTTAAATTTAATTGTAAGAATTATATAGTTTAGATGATCTATTTTAACTAATTTTTCAGACTGAAATTCTTGAAGACAGATTTTGATTTCGATGATGACGACATGGCTGGTAAGTTTATATTATAATATAATAGTTACAATTTAACATTGTTTTTTGAAATATAATATGAATTATTTGTTTATGGATAATTTTTTTTTTTAGTTATGTCTGTTAAATATGGTGACACTGAAGTTCTCAATGGTTTTGTCCTTGGAAAAAGTATGTTTTCAAGTTTGGTTATTATATTTAAGTACATGAGTTAAAAGAGTTGAATTAAATTTGTAAAATAATCTAATCTACTTTTGTAGGAAGACTATAGTTGTTTTATGTAGTAATAAATTTATGAAATACTTTATATATTTTGAACAAAAAGGTTTTAAATTTAAATTTAAATTATAAAAAAAAAATTTGAACTATAACTTATATTACTATTTTCACCTAATTGACTTTTAAGTTAGTGAGAATAGGTCTATTTAAAAAAAATGATTCAATATTAAATTTAATAATAAAAATTATATAGTTTTTATGATCCATTTTAACTAATTTTTCAGACTCTGAAATTTTTGAAGACAGCAAAGTTGATTTTGATAATGATAACAAAATGGGTGGTAAGTTTATGTTTTAATATAACAGTTACAATTTAACATTGTTTTTTAAAATAAAATATGGATAATATATTATTTTTTTCAGTTATGTCTGATGAATGTGATGACACTGGAGATACTAAACAAACAGGTTTAAATTTAATTTTGAACCATAAAAATAACTAACTTGTACTCTAACATAAGTGACTATTTTCTTCTAAGTTAAAAATTTGTAAAATTTCAGAAACTAACTTATATTCTATCTTGGTTAGTTCTTATATTAAAGTTACCTTAACTAATTGAAAAAAATTACAAACTTACTCAGCTTTGAATGTTGTTATACATTACATTTATAATATTACTATTGATATAAATTGAATTATTTGATGTGTTTTGTAGAGATGTTCTGGGTATCCAGCCATTGAGTCCTAATGGGATACTCAAATTATTACTCAGCTAATACTGGGTACCTGATTTATTAATAAATAATGTACCTGGAACTCCCCTTATGTTTTGTATTTATCTTTTTTTTAATAATTGTGTTCCCTTAATTTAAAGATGCCCCTATCCATTCTACATAGTCAACTACAGTTACAGCTGGTATATCTATTGAAAATCAGATGGAATTGCCTATTGAAACAGGTATGTTTGACTCGGAAGTCAGTTTTAACATTATACATGTGCAGAATCATCTTGATCTCTTCTGGGATAAACTATAGTTGTGTTTTGTAGTAATAAATTTATGAATCATTTAACATGTTTTGAACAAAAATATTTTAAACTTAAATTTTAACAAAAAAAAAAACTTGTACTATAACTTAAGTGATTTTTCACCAAACTAACTTCTAACTAAGTTAGTGAGCATGGTCTATTTCAAGAAAATGATTCAATATTAAATATAATTTTAAGGATTATATAGTTTTGATGATTCATTTCAACTAATTTTTCAGACTCTAAAATTTTTGAAGATAGCGAAGTTGATTTTGATGATGATAAAATGGCTGGTTAGTTTATTTTATAGTATAACAGTTACAATTTAATATAGTTTTTTAAAATATAATATGGATAATATTTTTTTTTTTTTTAGTTATGTCTGATGAGTGTGGTGATACTGGAGTTATTGAACAAACAGGTTTTTAAATTTTAATTTTAATTATAAAAATAACTAACTTGTACTCTAACATAAGTGACTATTTTCACCAAGCTAACTTCTAAGTTAGAAATTTGTAAAATTTCAGAAACTAATTTATATTCTATCTTGGTTAGTTCTTATATTAAAGTTACCTTAACTAATTGAAAAAAATTACAAACTTACTCAGCTTTGAATGTTGTTATACATTACATTTATAATATTACTATTGATATAAATTGAACTATTTGATGTGTTTTGTAGAGATGTTCTGGGTATCCAGCCATTGAGTCCTATTGGGATACTCAAATTATTACTTGGCTAATACTGGGTACCTGATTTATTAATAAATAATGTACCTGGAACTCCCCTTATGTTAGTTAGTTTTTGTATAAAAGTAACTTTAACTTATTAAAAAAAATTTCTCAGCTTTGAATGTTGTTATATACTAAATTTATAACATTGTTATTGATATAAAAATAATTATTTGATGTTTTGTCAGAATGTTCTGTGTATTTGGCCATTAAGTCCTAACCAGGTACTCATATAAATTATTACTCGGCTAATACTAGATTATTAATAAAGTTTATTAATAAATAATGTACCCAGAAGTCCTTTTATGTTTTGTATTTATCTTATTCTTTTTAATAATTTCGTTCTGTTTATTTATAGATGCCCCTATTCATTCTACATAGTCAACTACAGTTACAGCTGGATCATCTATTGAAAATCAGATGGCATTGCTTATTGATACAGGTGTGTTTGATTTAGAAGTTAGTTTTAACATTATAGATGTGCAGAAATAGATAGCCCGATCTCCTGTGGGATAAATTTTTAGTTGTGTTTTTTAGTAATTAATTTATAAAATATTTTACATATTTTGAACAAACAGGGTTTAAATTTAAATTTTAACTATAAAAAAAACAAATTTTTACTCTAACTTAAGTGACTCTTCACTTAACTAACTTCTTACTAAGTAAGTAAGCATAGGTCTCTATTAAAAAAAAAAAAAAGATTCAATATTAAATTTAATAGTAAGAAAAGAATTATATATTTTGTATGATCCATTTTAACTAATTTTTCAGACTGAAATTTTCGAAGACAGTGACATTGATTTTGATGATGATATGGCTGGTAAGTTTATGTTATAATATAACAGTTACAATTTAACATTGTTTTTTAAAATATAATATGGATGATATTTTTTTTTTTTTAGTTATGTCTGATGAATGTGGTGACACTGGAGATATTGAACAAACAGGTTTAAAATTTAATTTTGAACCATAAAAATAACTAACTTGTACTCTAACATAAGTGACTATTTTCACCAAATTAACTTCTAATTAAGTGAGAAATTTCAGAAACTAACTTATATTCTATCTGGGTTAGTTCTAGTATAAAAGTAACTTTAAATAATTAAAAAAAATTACTCAGCTTTGAATGTTATTGTATATTAAATTTATAAAATTGTTATTGATATAAAAATAATTATTTAATGTTTTGTCAGAATGTTCTGTATATTCGGCCATTGAGTCCTAACCAGGTACTCATATAAATTATTACTCGGCTAATACAGGGTGCTTGGTTTATTAATAAAGATTGTACCTGGAACTCTCCTTATGTTTTGTATTTATCTTGTTTTTTTTTAATTATTTTGTTCTGTTATTTTAAAGATGCCCCTATCCCTTGTGCACAGTTAACTACAGTTACAGCTGATACACCTATTGAAAATCAGATAGCATTGGTTATTGATAAAGGTATGTTTAACTTACATAGTTTCACAATAATACAATATTATAAAACTAATATAAATCTTAAAACGTTCCTTTCTTAAAGATGCAAGTACCAGTCAAAAACTGATACAGAATGATGGAACACTTCAAAATTTAAGACAGAGGAAAAGCATTTCTTTTAGAATCAATAGTGAGTTACAATCCATTAGTTAGTCACATTCTAAAATAATTCTGTTTAACACTGTTTTACATTTTTAGATAAATGTTCCAAGAGCAGGTTTTTGGAGAAGAACTTATTTCAGCGCATAGATAGACTTGTAGAATTACAAATCAAATCTGTAAAACAACAAAATGAAGCCATGAAAAGGAATTCTGCCTTAAAAGAACGTAAACTGTTGTTAGAACTAGAATTACTAGAAAAACAAATCAATAACTCATAATAATAATAATAATAATAATAATAATAAAAGACTATAATGTCACTTTAAATTGGCAAATGATCCCTGTTCAGAGCATCTCTTTCTTGTCTACCTCTCAGAACCCCTATTAAATTTTGAAGGTTATTGATAGTAGCCCTTGTGCAGTGTGTTATTTGGAACTTTATCATGCATATCAATACAAATGTTATGGATAACAGTATACGCCACAATAATTATTGCTTGTGTATTAATTAGGTTTGCTGTTATTCCTACATCTACAACATTCATGACAAACCATAATTTAATCATACAGGACACATCAAATAATAATAGTATTTCTGATAACCTAATTAGTAGTTTATAATTTTATAAATTTATTTGCTTATGGGTGATTGAATTTTCATGTGATTGCAATCCCCAGCTACCTTGGTTGTAAAATTCACTGACTACTTTCCTTAATATGTCAACTGCATTTTTGAAAAGTAAATGAATTTTGACCAGCGCCTTTATATGGCTCTACAAACTTGAAGAATATATCAACAAGCTGAGGATACACTAACACTAGTAAAGTTTGGGATAGCTAATAAAAATAATTCTGTTGTAAGGTACCTTAGCATTGTATATAATTTACATGGTGCTAATATTGTTCTGTTCCTGAAATAAAAAATAATATCTTAAGGGGAAGAAAAGTAAATTTACTAACAAAGATGATTTTTTTTTTTTATGGTAACTGTATTTAAATATAATTAAAAGTTACTCAGAGGGTAGGAATCATTTTTTTGGTGCATTGCAATAACCACTTCGCCAATCTTGTTTTCATCATCATAATTAAATAATATTTTGTGATTCATGTTTCACAACAATTATTTATTAAATTATTATTAAAAATAACACAAACCAAGTTAGTTTGTTATAACCTAGAAATATCAGGAGTTAAAATCCAGGAGTTACCAGTTACCACTTAACTACTTGTAAAATGATTTTATTTTGTTGACTCCATGTAATCTGTTACTTGCACTTTAATTCTAAATGGTGAAACAGTAGTAACATCAGTAATTCAGTAGTGAAACAAATTTATATCTTACTCTATATTGATTTAGATTTTATAAAATAAATATGCACATCCACCCTCTAAAATTAGTATGTTGTTAAGAACAAAATATCAATGGATAATCGCATTTTATTATTTTGACTTCGACTTATAATGTTTCAAATTTAAATTGTCTATGTGGTGAAATTTAATCTCACACTCTCAATTACAGGAATTGGAATTTCAATTTATTAATCATACAAATTATATATAAAATTTTACCTTTACCACATCAATTGAATCTAGAAATAGAAATTAACATATTAGTACATATTAACTTTTGTTAATTATTTCGTCTTGCATACCTATATGAAATCAATCTTGATCTGGAACTTGAAATGAACTCATTATTTTACTATATGATTTCAGATTTACTATAAACTACAACATATTATTATATTTACATAAAATCATGAAGTCATTTTTTGATTTTCTCATGAGTTTTCCCAATAAATGGGAAAAATGTAAAAAATACATTAGTAAAATATTACGATTTTTTTTTTCTGTAGACAACTTTTTCTACCAGCAATTTTGCTCCGATTTACAATGATAGCACTTTTTAGAAAAGAAAATCTGACTGGGGAGGTACTTTAGAGAGGTCATTTTTCGATTTTCTCAAAAGTTTTCCCAGAAAATGTGAAAAATTGGAAAAAAATGGAAAAACAGGAAAATCAGTACAATATTTTGTTAAACAAATATAATTAAAGAAAATGTATAACGCCTATTTAATTATATTACCATAATGTGACATATATTGTTTACAAAGCATCATTAACAACCTAACTGCGCTAGGATTCGTTTTTCGTAATCAATGGTTTATTGTTAATTACATGCTAATGCATGTTAATTAAATGCTTTTTATTATACAGTTTTTTGAAAAATATTACTTAGCCGCCCCCTAACCAAGTTTCTGGAGTCACCCCTGTTTCGGTATTTGACTTAACAAATAGTTTTTGTCAAATAAAATTAGGTAAGGAAGTATAACGATTTTGTACGTTTGGTACAATATTTGGAACAATATATTGTTTCCTTCCTTTTGGTGTGATAACATAACCAAAACCAAAAATAACCAAATACTTTAATAAAACAATAAACCACTCTACAATTATTATTATACTATTTCAAAAAATAATTATGAAATTTAATTATTAAAACAATAAGAGTGATGGGGGTTGAAAATTGAAACTCTCCAAAGACTCATCCTAACGCCACACATACGCAGAGTTTCATCTCTAGCTTAATTTTAGAAGTCCGTAGGGGTGTATAAAGCTAAAAATAATATCCTTCTCCTACGACAAAATAGTAAATTCATATTGAAATTCAACCAAAATTTAATCACTGGTATACATTATACACCTATAAAAAAATTCGAATTTTTGAGTTTAAGTTCATTAGGTTCAGAAGGAGCCTCCAGAGTAAGAGATATACAGACAAACATTTATTGTTATACATATGTATATAAGATATACCTATGTTATTATACAGGTACAATACGATGGAATAAAGTCTCTTTTACGAAAATTCGACAGTAAAATTGTGTTTTGCCTGCAGTATATGTTAAAAAATTAAGTGCAATACACTATGTTTTTTTTAATTTCATTATTTTTTAATTATATCTTATACATATCACATAATATATTAATATTATATCTTGAAAGGTGGAAATAGCTATATATACAAATACCTATATCGTTGTTGTAATATAAATAGTATACTTACCCAGTGCTCGAATTGATAAAATAAAAGAAGAGGGACTATAAGACAAAAAAAAAAATTAGCGTCCCTTACAATTATTGAACTTGCACAACCAGTGGGAAGCTTAGCCCTCCACACCTCCCACACCAATTTTCGCACCAATTCAAACATAATCCAGTAATTTATAATTTCCGAAAACAAACACTACCTACTGCACACTAGCTTTTTCTTAGTACCTACTATAGTAGATATTATTTATTTTAGATTCTTATGTGTTAGTTACTACTATGGTTCTATTATGATGATGTGTTTGTTATTTTCTGTATGTGAACTACTTTTCCACCAGAAATCTTGCTCCAGTTATCAACTTTAGATGCGATGGTTCCTAGTAAAAATTGTTTTCTAGTTGGTACAATAATGAGGTTAATTTTTGATTTTCTTTACTGTATTCTTAATTATAACGAAACCCTTAGAAAAAATACAAATTCACAAAAATTCTTGTTAATGAGACATTAAAATTACAGAAATAATGCTTTGATCTTAGTAAAAAGATACCTATATATATGGTATATATATATTACTAACTATAATAAATAAATTATAATTAATACATTTAATTCTAAATAATATAGAATTAAAAAATATATTTTTGTCACTTCATTAACTATAAAAATATCGATTTTTATCAAAAAAATTTTTTTTTTAATTTTCCTAAAGTTTGTAAAAATACCGTTTATTTTTAATGCAGTTAGGTAGCTTTTTTAGAGGGGATAAATTGTATACAGAAGAGGCTATGCCACTCCTTAATTACGCCTATGTAGGTATCTAATTTTTAAAATTCGTGTCTATTTATTTATACACACGAGCAATTTATTTCTTGTAATAGGTATTCTCTAACTAATAATTTAGGCGCTAGATGACGCAGTCGGTTTATTTTCAACGTATATTCGGGCTAACCTCTGTTTAGTTTCAGTCCATAGGATTCAGTATTTTAGTTTCTTAACCTATACTTAATATTATTTGTGTCATTCAATGCCATTTTTATTTTAAAAAATATGTTTGAACACTCAGTTTTGTATTGGTTTTACAATGATGTTTATTGTATTTTTTTTTATCAGACATTTTTCAAGTACAGTACTTTTACTGATTGGAAATTTTCTTGGAGTGGTACTTTAGAGGGGTCATTTTTTGATTTTCACAGAAGTTTTTATAATAAATGGGGATAAAGCGTAAGAAAAACGGGAAAATTTTTCGAAAACAATACTTTTATAATTTTCAATATAGTTTTTTTGTTGTAATTTAGTAAAAAATATTCGTAAAGACTTGAAATTTTGGCAGAAACATTTAAGGTATTATGAAGCTGATAGACATTTTAATTTTGTGAATTTTTACGTAATATTTTTTCGTTAAATACTCTGTAGATAAAATTGTTAGGCCAAACTGAAATGCTTGACAATTTAACAGGAGATTCACTATAAGTTGTACTTAGTGGTCAATAAGAAAAAGTTGAGTTAAATGTAATATTTCATTTTTTTTTTTTTAAGTATTTTAATATCAAATGTTGAAGAAAATTGTAAATATTACGTCCTTTTAAACATGTATAACCGAACTCCGCTCTAACTACTAGATTCACTCAGTATATGAACAAAATGCGGTTGAAAACAAGAGCGGTGCGAATGCCGTTTTATGCCCTCTGATGAGAGATAATTTCACACGCGTACTCGAAGGTTAAGGTACAATTAAATTTAATTGTGATCAATGTATTATTCAAATTCTATAAAATGTTTATCATCTGTTAAATTTCTATTTCACAAACAGACATCGTATTTTTAGGTTTTCACTAATAAAAACGTAATTAAAATAAGTAGGTAACTCTACGAAACGTGCGACTAATAAAAATAAACACGAATTTATAAAAAAAAAAACACTCCTAGGATAATGGGGACGGGTGCAGCCACTGTTGTAGGTGGGAACTTGGGAAGGTAGGATACAGAAGCGAATTTAGTGTATATTTGTAAGCATTGATAAATCATTGATAACGGAAAAACAACTCTGAACGGAGTTCAGTTAATAGTGATATCGTTTGTCAAAAATATATACGTCATATTATAGTAAAATAATTAAATAGGCACTATATATTTTCTTTAATAGTAGTTGTTTAATATTGATTCGATTTTTCTGTTTTTCCATGTTTTTCCCGGTTTTTTACATTTGCTGGGAGAACTTTTGGAAAAAT